TTTATGTATCGCGTTGCCGTCGTCTGCAGTGGCTTCAAGGAGCTCGTGCCCAACTTTGCGATCCAGGATGCCGGCTCGGACGAGAAGGGTACCAGCCCAGATGGTGGGCAGGGCAAGCTGATGCGAGTTAGTCCCATGTCGAGACATCAAAACACTGTTAAAAAGGTGTCGCTCAGGACTGCCACGGTTTGGTTGCTTCGGCAGCGGGCAGGCGTGTCTTGAGCAGGGTGTGGAAGCATGGGCAACTCCGCACACAGCATGTCCCTGTGCGGCATTTTTTTTGCTGTCACCTGCCACTGGTGAAGACACTACATCTCGTCGCCAGGCAAACCAACTCCTGGAGGATCAAGTGACGTGACACACAGGAAGCAACATGTCCAGAAGAGTGCTGCTCGCTGCCGTAGTCCAACGACAGAGACGCCACACGTCAGATTCCAGCAAGCACAACTAGCCCGTGTGACGATGCCACGACCAGCGAGGGAGGGGGCATCAAATGCGGCGATGAAGGTGAGTAAGGTGGTGTTGACATATCAATCGGAGTGTTGACGGCGGTGACAGAGGTCGGGGCGTGGAAGGAGGAAGCAATGTCGAGGAGGGCGGGACGACATTTGCGCCTCGGTGCGAGGGACGAATCAGATGCGTACAGTGCTCGTTGAGGGTTCCTCGTTCCTCGTAGCAGGTTGGTCGGCATTGATGTGGATGATGGCAGGGTACTCACTCATGGTCAAGGCCGTACAGATACCTTCTTGCCACCTCAGTCTGCTGTCTGCTCATCCCTCGCTGGGTGCGCTGCACGACAGGCTTGCGGCCACGAATGTGGAGACGATGTGGTCACGCTGGGACAGCCCGTCCAGTCATCGACTGCACCCGTGTTGCAGCGCACGAACCTGCCCTTGTCCTCCAAGGCGACAATCTCGCGCAAATATGACCAGCTGGTTGACCAGTGTCCAGTACTCACATCATGTCAACAGCTGCTAGGTCAGCTTCATGCACACCCTCCGCGCGCCAGAGGTGTCTGTTGGGTGCCTCTGGTCGCCTGCGCTGGTGCACTTGCAGAGCGCGATAGGCTGGCTGGTGTGCTCGTCTTCCGACACTGCAAGGTGCTGGTCAGTCAGCAAGAACCATCCACGAGTGACCGTTCTTGCCTTTTTGCCACCTGACCGTTGCCTAATCGTTCTCGAGCCTTGAACGCGCGGCACAACGGGCCTGCGGTCACCTCGCTTGGAGATGACGCGGACAGCGGGAACAACCACGCAGCGCGCGGAATGGTCGGACATGGGCGGCACCGTTAGGTACGCCGTAGCATACATCCCGGATGGTCTTGCTCACGAGCTCGTTTGTGTGTGGGCACAGCGGGCGTCATGTGGAACGGGCGGCGGCTGATCATTGCGGTGCCGCTGCAAGACAGGAAGGTGAGGCGACAGCGCAGACATTGGCACCGTAAGCAGCTCAGCCCTCATCCAAGATCCTCGTCTCATTGCCCTGCTGTCTTTAACTAGGTCTGCGACATACTGCTTGGCGTGCAATTTTCGCAACAGTGCTTTAACGTTGACCGCGCGGTGCGTCAAGTATGTCGCTACCGCAGACCTTCCAATCCGATTGGACGACTTCATCGGCTCAAGGCAGTTCACCACCCCCTACCACCCCATAGTTTTCCGAAGTCATCTACTCGTCAACTCTCGCGAGTTCCCATTGGAGCTGGACCAACGGCGCGCGAACCCGAAGACCACGAAATGCCCATCCCCCGAGTGGAGACGATGCAGGAGATCATAGGGAATTCAACCCAGGTATGTTTCTGGCTTGCTTCGTTTGGCGTGGGTGGCCGTCGACTATGCTACCCACATACCCCTCCCTATTCTTCTACGTCGCCCGCTCGCAAGTGTCCACGGACACTTTGCACACTACAGACCTGCATCAATGTCCGTGTTGGGGATCGGCCTGGGTGATGCATCCGCGGTCTGCAGGCAAGTCTCCTTGCACGTCGTGAGCGGGCGGCGCCAGTTTTACAATCCCTCTTCTTTTCATCACCGATGTTGGAGGATACAGTGCCACCGGACTGATTACCGTTGCCTCCACAGGGTATACTATGCAGATCTGCAAGGACTGTTCATCGAGAAAGTGAATGAAGCTATGTTCCTCTGGCTGCTCCACAACACCCTGGATTCGCTCGCCCTCTCCACCGCGGGCTGTTTCTGGCGCTCAAGGTCGTATCGCTCCACCACTGGGTCGCCCGGCGCACCCTTGGGCCCAAGCTTCCTGCTGCAGAGTACCTGCAGCTCCGCGTCCATCGCGATCTGCGTCGCAAACTCGCAGTCGCTGAGGCTTCTTCCTCGTCCTCAGACAAAGTCTTTGGCAGGACCCGGTATACACCTCGGTGCTACTAATGGCCCTCGACCTCCATCAAGTCGGCGTCCCCCGATGCGATGCTCAAATATTATGGTGGTGACCGAGCAGCCTCATCCGTTGCGCTCGACGCCCGCGAGAGTGGCGTCCTCAGTCGCGCGTTCTCACCGGACACACCCGAGCTGACAGTCCCTCCACTTACCATTCCCTATCCGCCACCATTGACCAGAGTGTCGATGATGCGACCTTCGCCATCCACGAGGAGTCCCCACACCCAGCAATCGGCTCGGCGCTCTCTGGGATCGACGAGATCATCGAGGGCTACGATGAGGGTGGCCTCCGGCTGCCTTCAGGTCTTATCCGCTCCGCATGCTCCTCCCGCATCTCGGAGCTCATCCAGCAACAGGAGGAGCTCGACAAGTCGATCGTCGCCCTCCGACTGTTCTCGCCCGCAGGCAGCAACGACTCGGGCGACTCGTGCCCGATGTAGTTTTCGACGTCGATGATGTTCAGCAACCGCCCGCCGTTCTTGACGGAAAGGCGCGATAGGAGCAATGACACGCGCGCGACGAGGAGCACACTGACCAGTGACCTATTACTGAGCAATTTCCCGGGCCCGCCAGGGACGAGCGTCGCTGCTAAGGCACCGCTTATGCCTCCGCTGAGCCGGGATAACAGTACACGCTCGCGGGCGGAGGATGTAGCGCTGAGGCCGGATAGCAATATTGTCCAGTCAGAACCTCCTGCAGCGAAACAGCCGTTGTCGAGGCCGGATTCACCGACGATAATCACGGCAGATGATGGTCTCGAGCTCAATAGCAGGAGCCCTTCACATGCCTTAGAACCTGACGACTCTACGATCCTCGTACCTGGTTTTAGAAACCACGTCAACTCTGGAGGAACTCGACATGAGATATGAGATCACCTCATTCATTGGCAGTAAGTGTGCTCTGTGCTTCGTTGGCGAATGGCGCATGCCTTACATCCCGTCCGCTTCGCAATTCAGGACTGACCCAAGAACCGGGATCATTCGGATCCTCATACGTTCTCGCCGGCCAGCGGCACATGCGCGAGGTCATCCTCGAGGTCGACGTTCAGGCTCCGCCCCCCGGTCGACAGCAAACGGTATTTCATCCAGGACGCGTGGCTTCCGAAGCGGCGGGCGGAACAGTTCGCGGGCGTGGGGTCGCACATGGAGCCGGTGAGGCCAAGGGGCGTCGCGGACGAGTGGAGGTGCGGCGTCGCTCTGGTGGGCGCGCCAGATGTGCGTGCGGTAGACGTACCCTGGTTTTGGGACGTGGGGGCAGAGAGTGACATCCCACTGAAAGCCCTGCGGGGAACGGAGAGAAGGTCATCATGTATCTTCCCAGACATGGTATCCACGTACGTCCCGAGTCTCGACGCTCACAATGCAGCCCTTGACGCATTTGCGTGCCCGTAGCCGATCACTAACCTAGTCCCCAATGGCCTCGCTTATGTCGACGTCTTCAGGACACGACCGCCACTACTGATGCACCTATCCCCGTAGCACCCCAAGACAACGCCGCCGACCTGCACCATCAGTCCGCACCCCCACCCGCTGTCGCCGCCGAGATCCTCCGCTCACAATTGAATCGAACAAGTGCGACGAGGTGGAGAAGCAGATGAAGATCATAGTGGAGATCACGGACAGTGAACTTCTATGCTTCGCGGGCTACGGCGTGGAGTGCATCAACAAAGACGGTATGTCGTCGCTTCTTGTACTGTCTTCGTCGCAAAGGAGGCTCATCCGTCTCCCTTGCCCCCATGTAGCTCGGCTGTCCGATGGTGATGCAGTTTGCGTGGTACCGGGCGCGCGGATGCTTCACCGCGACGTAGGAAACCGTGCTGAGTTGGAAGGGTCTGCGGGATGTAGGGGTTCATTACATTTTCCTCAGGGCCTCCGAGAAAGCTAAACCTTGTCAGGTCGTCATTTGCGGCGTGTTTTCTCCGCTCGCTAACGACGGAAAACAAGAGCAAGCTGCTGCCAAGATCATCCGACGAGTCTCAGGTGACAGGGTCAACGTTGTCTGCTCGCGAAATGGTCAAAGCAATCTTCTTCGCTACTGCATCATTATTGACATCGTCCATCGCAGTTGGTCAAGTCGGATTCCTAGAGCGCGAAAATGCGTCCATTCTGAACGCTTCCATCTTGACGTTCGCCCAAAGAACTATCCTCGGCTTCCCAGGCTGCCATGAAGGTTCTCAACCTCACGTGTCCTCTATTCCTTACGCAGAACGACGGCACCCTCACCTCCGCAGCATCTGCTGCGCGACTACCCATCCGTACGTTTGCGTCAGGACCAACGAACTCAATGCAGGGTGCCGTGTTCCTGGCTGGCCCTGATGAAAAACGGACAGGACAACAACGCAAGTCGATCATTGTTGCCGACGTCGGCGGTACAACTACCGGTGTGGGCGTGCTTCTTCCGTCTGGGTTCCTACGACAGGTAGCGTCGTTCATTGAAGCAGGAGGCGTGCGCACGAACTTCTCCATGGCGGATGTGCAGTCGATTGGGCCGGGAGGTGGCTCTCGTGTGAAGGCGTCTGAGACGCCTCAGGGCCGCACCGTGGCAGTTCGTCCCGACTCTGTCGGACATTACATCACAAGAGATGCAAAGGTATTTGGAGGAGACATAATGACGACGACTGGCATTGTTGTCGTGAGCGGTCGTCGCCTCTCAGACGCGTGTCGACACGCGGCACGCGTAAACGCATCGACGCGTGTCCTTGCGTTTGTGTACGACAACATAAACATGTTCTTTCGTCTTGCGGAGCCCACTCTCGGTGACAAGTCTACGCTTCAGAATGGGACGTGCGCTACCGCCTTTGAGCTTTTCGATGCACATCCTGAAGAGCTGCTAACATCTGACTACATCGCCTCCCTCGCCCGCGCACCAAACCTCACACGAAACGACATCCTCATGACGCGTACCGAAAACCTTGCTTTCGCGGACCTCCTCCAGCGCACCGTTCTCTCCATCATCATCAACTACGGTGGTCCGGGCTTCTCACGGTTCCGCAAGCAAGTTGAAGATATGGCACCTGGCGCATACGACCAAAGAATCCCGCTTCATCGCACTGAGATCTTCCCTTTGCCGACGATGAAAATAGATGAGTCCACCATTATCGGTAATGCAGAGGTCACCGAGACGATCTTCTCCGAAGTTGGCCTAGAGATGGGTTCGGACGATTTCCAGGAGTCGGTGAAACTCATTGCTGGCGACCAGCTATCAATTGCCCGTCTACGCGCACTCACGAGAAATCGTGCAGGCCATGACACCTTCTCCAATTCCTATCTCTGGGTTGTCGTCATCCCGGGTATCTTCCACTACAAGATGGCTGCAACCCACGGCTTCATGGAGCTGTTCTATGGCTCCGATCCTAGTCCCCGCAACCCTGGTTCACTCGCCTTCCACAACAACGTTCTCGATCGCACCCCGATCACCATTTCCTCCATGCCGCCCTTCCGTGAGTCCCGCAATCTCATATTCGTCTCACTGTATGCGCGCGTCTTGCATTGTCTCGAACTCGTCAGCCGCTGCGAAGATCTCGCCGACTATGCTGCCAATGTCACCTTTGAGCAGCTGAAGTTCCATGCTGGGGAGATCGTCACGCAGTTCGCTGATGGCAAACGTGTTGATCGCATGCGCACTGCCCGCGCCGCTGAGCTGCGTTCCATGGGGCCGGACAATCCGCGGCCAGAGCTGATGCGATCGGCGAGCGGAGGGAACACCGCCATAGAGGCTCAAGTGCGTCATGTATTCCAGAGCACCCCACTTCTTTCACTCACTCACACCGTGGCATCACGAACAGAGCGCTCCGCAGCATCAATCTGACACGGACATCCCAAATCCTTCGTCGCGTCAGCTCACCGAGGGTGATATGGTCTTCGAAAACGCCATCCTTCTCTTCCGTGACGCGTTGATCCTGCGCCTCCTCACGGATACCGTCAAATGTGGCGACTCAGGCCGGCTGGTCCTCGTGTTCAAGATCCTTGCACTCTACTACCGCGGCTGCGGGCGCACGAAATACGCGCAGGAGGTATTGTTTGTCCTACACAACATCATACATGTATGGCCTGAGCCACTACGGTACAGTCCGGTTTGTCTGCTTGCTGGTAACCGCCGCCGTCTTACATGTTTCCACAGGAAAGTCGTTCTTCAAAATTGGTTAGTGAATCCGACAGGCAAGCCCAATGCTTGGGTCGAGGTCGACCTGATGCAGGAGCATTTCAACTTCTGGATCAAGGTCAATTCTGCACATCAGTGACTCACGCGAAGTGGTAGTCATCTATGTAATGATCATTATAGACCATATACAAGGCACACGGCCCCGCAGCTTCATGGGAGTGGCTAGCGATGATCTCCCCCTGCATCGACATTCTGCGCCGCCTCGCGACCGAGATCAACACCACCCCGGGCGCGAAGCAGGGGACGAAGCACACCACACCCAACCTTGACAGGGACATTGCCTATCTGATGGCGTCCCTTCGCCGCTACGAAGGTCAGGCGCCGTATCTCTACCCTCCACCCGCTGGTGCAGCTCCCTATCCGCACGCCCATACGCCACCATTCAATGGTACGTTTCCGACGGGCTTTCCCGGCTTCCAGGGCCATGGACAATGTACGTGAACTTTGAGCATCTAACTGATGACTCATCGACTGATATGTAGTACCACTTACAGTTACTTTTGCTGGCCCGGGCGTTTGGGCGCCAGACCCGAGTCAGGGCACCCGCCGTGCGCGTGAGGAGGCTGAAAACGCTCAGGCTGTACTTGGGCCAGCTCGAAAGCAAGCGCGCGCAGGTACTACTACAGCAGCACCTCGCGGTTCGGGTCGTGGAGGATCGCGACGCGGGAGAGGTCAAGCCCGCAGTAACGCTACAAATGTTGCGGATTCGAATGTTGCCGCAAATGCAGCCCCCGGCCCAGTCGCGTCATCGTCCCAGGGCCCAGGTACAGCTCTGGGCTCAGCTACTACGGTCCCAGGCATAGGACCATCGCTTCCGCTACCACCGAATCACGTTGCTCAGGCTGCAGGTCGGCCGTCTCATGCTCGAGTGCAGGCTGCGGCACAGGCTCAGAGCCTCCTCCCCATACTACCCGAGCGACCTGACGCGGTCCGTTCATTTGGCTCGCTGATGCGCCAACCAAAGCAGTCACATGGCGGGGCAGCTACGGACGTATGGTACTTCATGCGCGAGCTCAGTAGTAATGCGAAGTTGACCGATGGTCCGAGCGACGAGAAGTTGCTTACTGAACGTCCACCCAAGTCTGTACCGTGGGTCGGGTGTCGTCTTTGGTGCGAACTTGTTTTGGATATGTAAATCTCCTGTTTGCTCACCCTATATTTTGTCAGTCCTCAAACGGCCAAATCAGGAGAGCATTCAGCATCACCGCTTACCTCAGACTACACTTGAGTTACTTCGGGACATCCGCGAATTTCTGCACGCGCCGCACATGGTTCAAGAAGTCTTATCTGCACAACGAACGCCGACGCTCAGCATGGCGCTTCCGGGTTATGAAAAGCTCATCATCCTGTTGCGCCTGTTGAAGAAGAAGCTCTGGCGGATTTCTCATGCCATCGAGGCGTCGATTGTGAAGCTCGAAGAGTACCTCGGAAAGGCACGTCAGACGGACATCTACATGGTCGCTATGGGTGAGTCGACATAGGTACTCTTCAATTCTTGGAACTACTGACGCATTTGAACCATACTTAGTCATCAACCCAACTATGAAGTTACAGTGGCTCACGGAGCACTGGGGCTCGGCCGAGGCAGCCAGGGCCCGTATGTGTATACGGAACACGGTATGGTGGCTTGGGCTGCACATATGCTCCATATGTACTCATATATCATTGTACAGATGCTTGATTTCCGTGCTGCCATGCGTCGCAAATGTCACGACCAAGCTCAAGCCCCCGACGGTCTCGCCCAGGAAGCACCCCCGATAGCAAGCACAAGCTCCCATGACAGCCCAGTGTCTTCCACTCCGTACGACTACACACCGTCAGCATCTGCAGCAAGAGCGCAGAACGTTGGATTTGCAAACATCAACGCGTGGATGCGATCTCTATCTGCCGAGAGCCTCGCGGAGCGCAGCGGCTCAGACTTCGCGGACGGATCGCCCACTGCGGATAATGAGTCACAGCCGACGTTGAGTGACGAAGAGCGCGCAGCGAAGGAGCGTGAGGAGGATGAGAAGATTGTTGATGACAAGCTTACTGCATACATCTCGAAGGGTCTTGTCGACGAGAATTCCAATTTCGACCTGTTGAAATATTGGGAGGTGTGTGCACTACTTCTGCCACGGGAACTGGCTATCTCACGGAATTCATACAGTTGCACGAAGACGTTTATCCGACGCTTTTCAAGGTGGCCCTTGACGTGCTACCAGTGCAAGCATCAGCTGTACCATGCGAGCGAGCCTTCTCCGCAAGCAAAGAGACTGACACTGACCGTCGAAGCCACCTCGGGTGACTCAGTGTCGAGCTCATGGAGATGTTGCAGGTTTTGAAGTATGCCCTTCGCGAAGGGCGGCTGAACTTCACAGACGGTTGGACGGCATCTCGTCCGCTCACGGATCCGGAGGATGATGCTAGTACCCGAGCAACACGAGACGAGGTGAACCGTTTGTTCACGGAGGGCCTGTATGGCGATATTTTCACGCTCATGCACGACGGCTCGACCACTCGATAGACACCAAATGCTATATAAAATTCAATTCTTATCTTGTCTACTATCAATGCTTCGCCTCGGTGGAGGCAGCCTGAGGAGCAACGGCTCAGAGAGCTTCGAGAGCTGCTCTGATTGGCTAGATTCCGTTCAGCCACCTACGGCAAATCCCGAGCTGACCTCGAGGTGACCTCGCTCCGCCTCGAGGTTGCGCGAGCTGGACAGTGCGGCACCTCGAGGCGACCTTGGCCTCACCTCGCGGCCACACTAACGGTGGGCTTGCGACATGCGATGTAGTTGAGATTGAGTGTCGCCTCGGAAACCGCCGTATCAGGCTCAAAGTTCTGGTGAGTGCAGGTGTAAGGATCAGGGCGGATCGGAGCTCACCGGGGTGCCCGCCGAACGAGGGTTCGGTGAAGGGGCGTGACAGGGAGAGCAGCTACGCTGCGGAAGGAAGAGAAGACAGAGAGACGGGCTCCGGAAGGAACGCGGCTCGTGGAGGCTGACTGGTCGAGAGACCTCGGCCGGGCGCCTACAGAGGGACGTACGTAGCTCGGGAGAGACGACTCGCGAGCAAGACGAGCCTATGTACAGCACGGGCGAGCGACGAAGCCGGTCAGCGCGTGAAAGCGAGTAGCCCGCCGGGCACAAAGAACAGAAATAATGCAGGTGCGAAAAGACGATGCATTGTCACGGCTACGCCGAATCTGGCTATCGGCTTACATAAGCCCTTAGGCGCCAGTCAGTCTACGATGTTCGAAAGTGTACGGTTCGCGTCCTATCAGTATCACCTTCCTATAGCCTCGGCAACCCCGCCTGCGCTTGCGAAGCACCATGCGCCCGCGACGGGAGGCTTAAGCTTCCGCGCGCCGTCGGTCATCGACACGTCTCTCCAATGGCCGCCTACCCACCATCCTTGAGCACGCGGAGGCTCTCATGGGTCTTGCGTCTGGTTCAAATGCACCCTACCGTGGATCCGACCCGCGCAGCTTTGGTCTTGCAAGCAGACCAGGTGTTCGCCGCTCTAGACCAGGTCATTCGCCGACGATGCTGCATCACGACCGCCGTCCGTCAATGTCCTCTCGCGCGTCACCTCCGACAGCTGGTCAGAAGCGTTCACTCAGCCCCGGCTCCGATGACCGCGACGTCACCTGCAACGGTAACGGCAGGTACGTCTCCCCTCAGTCTAGCTCCGGTGTTCAACCTTCTCCTGTCCCTTCCCACCTCTCGCCTATTCCCTTCCGTCAGCAACCAACGTCGCACTCATTAGAGACGCGTCGACCTGAAGCGCGAAGCTACTCGCCGTCGTCCGCGCCCGATCAGCATGAGCCTCCCTCTGATGAACCACGGACACGCGAGCCCTAGCAGATCAGGCCCGCCGACGAAGCCGATGGACAAGGACCGGCCGCACCACACGAGGAGCGCGAGTCCAGTCAGGCAGAAGCACAAGAATGTGCTGCACCAAGCGGGCGGGACGCCGCCAGGAGTGGGGCCTATTGCGAAGGGTACGCTGTCGCCGAGCTCGAGCAATGGTCGGTCGGCTCCACTATCCACATAAGATCATACTGCTGATCAACTGCTTTTTCGATGGAGGGAGGGTGGATCTCTCGAAGAGCTTGTCGGTCAACCCCATCCGACGGTGCTCCACCACTTCGACGTGCGAGATCGGCCCAAGCCGCAGAGCGTACTGAGCGTGCTGACGCGGTTGACGGTCGGGCGCGCATGCCTCGGGCAACGGAGTTCTGCGGAGGGGAGCAGGGGATGGAATGGGACGTCAGGGGCAAGTATGGGGCAGATAAGCACGCGACAAACCACACCGGCCGCGGGTATGGCGAACGGTGGGCGGGCGCACACACGCGACGACACGCATGGCGACCACGAGCGCACCATGGGCCCGAACAAGACCACGCCCTGCGGAGGTCGCGGACACGAAGGCGCGGATTGATGCACGGACGAGCAGGCACGCCGACCATGAGCAGGACGGACACCCGACACGTAAACGCAGCTGACGAGTACACCAACGCGTGGATGGACAAGGACCAGTGGGAGCGGGAGCAGGCGAGCAATGAGTGCGGACGCGGACGACACGGATGAACGGGTGCCTGCAGGGACAAGTGAGCGCGAGTGTGGGCGCGGATGAGCAGAGGAGCGAGGGCAAGCGCAGCGCAAGATCTGCTCCGAGCGGGCGTGGGCACGGACGAGCTCTGCATGCAGCCCCCCTGTTCGTAAGTTAGTACATACGAATATATACTATATTGACAATTGAGCTGCTGTTTGTGTAGAATGACTGTCTCTAGTAGTACACAATTATCCCCGGAAAGACGTGTCCCAGATGTGATCACCACGGTGAGGTGGTCGCTCTTCAGCCACCCCAGCATGACCGGGTACCTGGAGAATTCTGTCGAGTACATTGACTATCATGAACAGCTGCCTCGTCGGCCTCCTTGCGATTGTGAACCGACAAGATGGGCATCTGTATTCCGGTTGTGGCCGAGTCTCCTCGAATGCTTGAATGGCCGCCGAGATTTGGTTTCGTAGCTGATCGTCAACTCGGGGGTCACCCAAAGCGTTACGGTACTCTCGTAAATCCAGTGGCTCCGGGTGGATTTCGAGATGTTCGGTCAACGTAGTGCTGAGCCATTGTTCCAGACAGGATTCGCAGAATACGTGTCCGCAGGCTAATCTGTAACACAATGTCAGGCAACGCTTTCTAGTCATAAGTGGACACGATACGAACACGTGAGGGTTGAAGAGTAGTGTGCCACAGATTGTACACGTTAGGTTGTGTGTTAAGTCGGATATGCAAGCCTACACGATGTGTCACTTGTGAAGCATGCAGATGACAAAGACGGCTAGTAACCGTACCTGTAATTGCCCTACGAGATTCTCTCTCGCTTGCCCCTCAGCCATCCAGCGCTCGACTTCCTGCTACGGGTGAGACAGTATCCGTCAGAATAGAATAACATACAGACCATCTATGTCATGATTAGTGTGAGTTTACTGTGTATCATGATCGGCGTACTAACGTTCAGATCCAAAGCATTGTGGTCTCGATTCGAGAGTTCGTGACGCAGCCTATCGATGTCCTGAAGGTTTGTACGGGATGCATCAGGAACTTTGCAGACCAATCGCTAATTGAGCGCGAACCAGCTGGACCAGGGCGCGTCAAAGGAGTAGTCAGTAAAGCAGGGGAATATCAACGCACTCTTGAATCGGCGGCACATTTCTCCTGTACACGTAATTTGAGCTTCAAATTATCCAGCTCCTGATGTTAAGGAATCGTTGAGTAGCATTCATAATGCATATGGTAGTACTTTCCTGTGCGCGAGCAACACAACGATCTTCTGTGGAGCGGAGCTGCGATCTCAAGCTCTCTGTCTCCTGTACATCGCGTAAAACGAAGGTCAATACCAGTATACTGCATGAAAGTACAGACCAACTAAGCATGGGTCGTCAAACCTGTGTTACGCACACCCGAAATCGTAGAACAAACGTACTTTGGCATCTGCTGAGCGCTTGCTTTGCTCTCGAGCTTCGGCCTTCAGGACTTGGATTTGCTAAGATTTTATCAGAGCGATCAAGGCTTGTGGCTCATATACTACACAGACCAGCTACGACACAATCCTCAGGTATAAGAGATAGAACAGGAGTAGATGGGTAGTAGTACGGACCTGCGCTTCCGCGGTGGCTTGTTTCTGTCCGTGGACTTGAGCAGCCAAGCGTTGAACCTCCTACAGGGTAGTCATATTCACTTGACCGGTTTCTTGCGAAGAATGATTACGCACCTGCAAGATGGCATTGAGATGCCTCTTTACGGACGTCTGAGGCCCCGCCGCGTCAGTGGCCTTACAGCTGTTTGCAGAACGATAGTCACCGCGAACGCGCGCGACATATGATGACTAAGCGCTCCGCGCTTCGGGAAGTTGGAGGAGGGCGGCACTGACTCCATCGCACCGCTCTTCTACAACATTATTTGTCCTCTCGTTTGCACTACCTCAAGCGACTACTGTAATGCCGTGACGTCATGGCGTGAAGTCGGAAGATAAACACTGAGAGGCTAATCACAACGAGAGCACTCGAATTGCAATGCGATAGTAGTACGACAACTAGCTAGCTTCTAGCTTGATGATGGTGATGTGTAACAGACGGACATTCGACAGCAGTAATCAGAACAGAAACAGAGAAAGTATAGTAAATCGTAGCGTACAACACCCAGCCGCCAGAGAGCAACCACCAACCCCAAGAACATACAGACAGACGACAATCGAGTCCAGCGACGACTCACTTCACTTCACTTCATTTCACGACGATCACCCGCTTCGTATGCTTCCCCGCTCGTCTCCGCTCATTGTGCGGCATCGGCCTCCTCCACGCCTCATCGTCCTCCTCCGGGTACCCCTCCCCCTGCTGCTGCTGCTGTTGCTGCTTGCTTCCATGCTCGCCCGCGGGCGGAGGCGGCGCAGGTGGGTGCATCGGGGGCTGCATCTGGACGTCCGTAGGGGCATGCGGCGGTGTCGTCCGTGCGTGTGCGTGTGCTTGTGGCGGCGGCACAGAATGCGGGTGTGGGGGGTACGGCGAGGGCGCCGACGTAGACTGTGCAAGGACAGGGATGATCGGCGGGGACGTGCCCTGGGGCGGCGGCGCAAGGGCATGTCCATGCGGGGAGCCCGACGCCTGGCGGGCCGGGTGCTCGCCGAAGCTCACGGGGACCTGCTGCGGGTGCGCAGGGTGCGACTGCGGGTGCGGGTGCATGTCGACCTCGATCTGCACGGCGACGATCTCCTTGCCCTTGCGGGCGAAGAAGGCGCGCTCCTGCTCGAAGAAGAAGCCGGACGTCGGGCCGATGGCGGCGTTCGGCGGCGGCAGGGGGAAGAGCGCCATGAGCTCGTGGCCCGTCGGGGGCGCAGGGAAGCCGCCGCGGCGCGGCATGGGCGAGGCGGAGGCGTCGACCGGGGAGAGTTCCAGCTCTGCCAGCGGTCAGCGAGGGGGTTGTGCGAGGGAGGGGGATACGTACCTCGAAGTGTGGGCGAAATGGGTCGGTATTGGCGGGACGCTGAGGGCGCGGGTGGGAGGAAAGCGCGTTTGGAGGGGCCGGAGGTCGGGCTGCGCTCGCTGCCGGTCGAGGCGGTCATGGAGGGTGAGAGGGGCGGCTCGCCCATGTGGACGGGGGCGATGGGGCGGAGGTGGTACTTGGCGGTGGTCATCGGGGACACCTGCGCGGAGGAGGGACGATCAGGGCGGGCGGCAGGGGTGGGGGAGGGGGACTCGGGCAGGCGGGGGCCTTATATGAGCGCGGGGGCGGGCGGCGGACGCAGATTGGGAGAGGAAGCGACCCTGAGGCCTGAGGCCTTGAGGCCTGAGGGTCGCGGTCGTTCTTGGTGTGCGATCGCGCATCGTGGCTGCAGAGCGAGCAGCGGCGGGCTGCAGCGGGTGCGGCAACTGATCGGTGTCTTCCGTCTGCACGCGCCGCCTTCGCCAGATCGCGATCCCAGATACATATCCGGCCATGACACCTCCCCGCGCGCTCCTGCCAGTGGGAGTTGCCAGCGACTCTCCTCCGAAGCGAGCAGCTGCAGTCCGCCCACGAGCCCTTCTCCGCCCGCTCCATTCCCACTCGCCAGCCTTCCCAGTCCACAAGCTATGCCTTCTTGAGCCCGTGGCATTGGCACGTCCTTTTGTCGTACTATCTCATCGACACCGCGTCTCCCTCGCCCCTGGGGCCCCTCTTGCCGCATCCGCCAGCTGATACGCATTCTGTGTACGTACCACAGGACGATGCGGGTCACCGTGAACCGCCAGCCAAATACTAGCACACCGGCCTGCGCGGACTCGCCACCGTCCCACTCGGCCGTCACGTAACTCGCGCGTCTGCACGATGAGTCAGTGGCTGGGAGCGAGCGTGGTGGACTTCCAGTTGGGCAGAAATCGTCAGTATTGTCATGGCGCAGGCCGCCGCCGAGGAGCACGTCAGTCGCGGTGGACACTCGGAGGGGGGCGACCCTGCAGGAGAGCGTGAGCGTCGCGGGGGCAGTTGTACGTGTCACGCCCATTGACATGCCGTATGTCGTCTCGTCTCTTGACAGGGACGGTCTTCTTCGCAGGCAGGAGCTGTGTACGGGTGAACTCTGTGTCTGCGGGTGCGCTGCGTCCATGTACCGGCGAGGGAAGGTGCGACTCGTGCAACGTCAAAGAGTCTCCCGAGAGCGGAGAGCGGGTGACCATGTGCCGTCTAGAGCTGAATGGGCGGGGATACGCACTCGCTTGCTCCGCTGCAAATTACGCGCCTCGTGTGCGCGCTGCTTCTGCTTGCTGCACGCTTCGCGGCTGACGCGCTGATGTGCGACGTGCTGGGCTTTGTATGAGTCGACAGGTAATCCGACGTCCATCTCTTCCACTGACTTGACTGCATCGCTGCGTGGCCTGCCACCATGCCACTCGTCGCATACGCCCAACTACCCTCTTCGGTCTCCGACGGAGCATCGACAGATCGACTCCCTCCTCTGCCTACTGCCCCAGCCACTCTCCGACTGCCCGGACGCACGCCGACTGATCATCTGCAAGTACCTCCGGCGACTATTGATCCACACCCAGGCCCTTTCGCGTTCACTCATCCGTGCTCTACAAGTACCGTCGCACTCTAGGCTCAGCACCAAGTAGCCTGTTCCCTCGAGTGGGGTCGCGACAGCGTACGAGTGGCTCGAGACCGCTTCTGATCGACGGAGCACGATGCATGCATTCCGAAGCTTGCGTCTGAGCTGCCATACGACGTTCTTCATTCAGTCGTCGACTCGACGACATGCAACTCAGTCGCTCGAGCTCCGGACCCGGCCCCGGATATCAAACCCACTTCGCGTCGAGCTCTTCTACAGCGTCCACCAGGCGTCATCCTCCCTCATACCAATACCAAGCGCGCTTCCTCCTCCGAGCCGTCTCAACGCGGTAAGGCCACCTCGCCGCAGGCAAAAGTCCTAGCGATCCACACCATCCACACCCCCTCCGCATGCGCACGCCAGATAGACGTTGACAGCACATGCGGACGCAGATGCGCGTGCGCGTGGGCCGCCGGTGTCTAAACCTACCTTATAAGTCCCCGGCGTTCCCATCCCAGCCGTGGTCCTCCACGCCTAGAACTGATCTCGAGCATCGATAGCTCGCGAGCGGTCGCGGAACTGGGCACCGCACGACCGCTGTGTTGCTTCAAGTTAGCGACATAGCGCTAGCCATCTGTCCGTCCGCCCGAGCCTGCCGGGCGTCAAGCTCTGAAGCTTGAGTGGTAGATTGGTAGATTTGCAGGACGACTTCGCGAAGGCGTCTCGGGATGGGTGAGTTGTCCTTCCTTTTTCTGTTGGAGGAGGGCCTGACGTGACGGGTGTGCGTGTGCGTGGTGGGTGATCACGATGCGATAGCGGTTTCGTGTGGGTAGGTTACTTGCGCACTGCTCTCGGCACCGCGTTTGTTCTGCTGTCTCGCGGGCTGTATTTACCTAGCTCGTCTCCATGTTTACCAGTTCCCAGTGAGTACATGCAGCTGGTGCTATTTCCATATTCATCTGCGTACCTGTCTAATTGCCAATGCAGACCGTGACGCGGTGCCTCGTCGAAGAGCGCGTTCATCAAGCAATAGCAATGAAGAAGCACGCCGTCAGAGGTAATGGGCTTTACCCGCCGCTTTCTTCATAGAACTCGCGAACCGATGGCAAATGGAAATGGTGATTTCATCGGCCCTCATGCATCACGGTGGAACTCAAGACCTTCTGCGCGAGCGTTGTTTGGCGCTGCCCCTGGACCTTGCAGTTTATCCCCTGAAGCTGTCAGAGATGAAACGGAGGTTCACCTTGTCAACGCGATGTGCTTCGGGAACTTCTTCCAACTGTCGGTGTTGTTTTGCTCCTGGAGACGCTGATATCGTTATGGTGTCGCTGACAGCTTCTGCCCTCAGACGTTGTCTCCGTGCAAATTGAAGAACGTCTATTCGCATCGCGTAGTGCTGTGCCTGACGCGTGCACGTCACCTTTTGAGGCGTCGACGTCAACTGTCTATGTCAGTACGGCGCGCTCGTTGCGCCGTTGTCCTGGGATTATGCTATTGCTATTTGCCTATTTGAAGGCTCACAGCCGTCACCTACATAAGTACCGCTCTCCGATGTTGTTCGGTGGATCGGTTATGGATATGAAGCCCTGCCTGAGGACCACCGGTCCCGTAATGCATCACAATTCGCAGACCACAAGCCGCATCCGAGTCTTCCATGCCAGTCTGACTCGCCCGTTGTATTCCGTGCCTTCGCATTACCTGTGCATCGCCATCAGGCGTCGCCAGACGATCTCCCGTACCAGGACACGTCAATGATGCTCCTACAAAATTCGTCTAAGTCGATCGATCCCAGCACCGGCACGACGCATCCCGCCCTCCAACGCTTGACCAACTTGCTGCCAAAACCACGCGACCTCCATCTGTTCCTTCCGGCAAGTGTTCGCACCGCGCTCCAGCAGTCGTTCTCCGGTACACCGTGACACGCGAGACTCGATGCTCGTTGCATGCTGTTGCTCCGCCCGCTATGCGACTCGCCCGTCGAATGCTCAGAGAGCGGCGATTCCTGTTGTCGTTCCGCGTGCGCGTACTGGCCGCTATCGTCATACTCCCGTTCGTAGCCCGCATCGCACGCTCACGCTGAGTAGCCGCTGCCTCGAAAGCGTCCACCACATTGGCAACCCCGCATTCATGACCGTCCTCGCCTCCAGGCAGCACTCCCAGGCGCGTAGTTGACCAGTAGCGCGACGTTAGAGGAACCACGGCCTTGAAGCGGCGATACAGTGAATAGTCGAGGCAATGATTCTTGAACAACATGGATATCCGCGGCCCTACGGCGCCGGCTGCGACTCCAAGCAGGCTCCCAGGCTTCGAGCTCGATGATAGCTGCGCCGCGGCGGACTCCGCGAAGCCAGGTCGAACCGTCTTCTGTGTATCTGCAGGGCTGGTAGTCGCCTCGGGGTCTCCTTCCCAGGGACGTTCCACGACTCGCTCGTCTATCCTCTCGTCCGTGACCGTTGCTTGTGGACTCTCGACCGCAGGACGCCTCGGACCCATCGCCACCGTCCTCCTCATCGCCTGCAAGAAGTCGGTGAGCGCGTAGCCGCCTCGACGCTGGCTGACCGCTGTGATCTTCCTTCCGCCCACCGTCGTCACCTTCCCCTCGAGTCCCGCCTCACCCTGGCTCGCTACCCCACTCCTCGCCTTGTTCTCGCACGTCGTCTCGCCCTCGCACCCTCGCGCTCCGTCCTCCCGGCTCGTCTCCTCAGATCTTGCGTCGTCCATTCCCCTCGCCAATGGTTGTTCCATCCGCCCAGCCTTGATGCCAATAAGCCCGCGAGCTGTCGGTGTCCGCCCTGGTCTAGATTCTTGGTTCCCGGCTGGCCCGACTCGCCCGTGCGCTGAAACCGCGTACATCGCCCCGACGAACTCATGCACCGTCTTGGTCGCAGAAGTCTGAGAAAGTGGGAACATCGCCACCGGTGGCCTCGTCCTAAGCCTGCCAATCCCGCCGTGCTCGCCGCTCGTCTCGCTAACATACTCCATGGCCTCCATGAACGCACCGCTCGTGAAGATCGTCCTCTCGCCAGTCACCGGTCGCCTATCCTTCGCATGTATCGAAAGACGGTTCATCGAGTCGAAGAAGCTCCGCAGGGAGGGGGTTTGACAGGGTCGCAGAGGAGAGGTTATCGCGGCCGTAAGTCTCGCGTCCATGGTCGCGTCGTAGCTCTCGGGACTCTGCTGTCCTCGTAGATAGTGAATAATGAATATGTTGATGATAAATTGCGAACCACTGCGCCGTAGCCCGTTCGCGATGAAGCAAAGTCGGAGGCGAAGTGGAGGAAGCGAAGAGGTGAAGATTACACCCCCTCGCGGTGGGCTCCAGTTGTGGGACTGGGACGTGTGGTGTGCACGTTCCGGGTCGCCGAGTTCGTTGAGGGGGGTCTACCCGTCGCTTCCGGGGTGAAGACGGGGAGGATGGGATAGTGATGGTGGTGGTGGTGGTTCTCGGTCGACTCGTACGACAAGCAGTTGTCGGTCTGGGGATAACGACGCTCTGCCACTGTTGCGAAAGGACCCCGACGGTTAATAATATTCAAAAATGAATCGCAACGGCGTACACTCAATGCTTCCTTAGTGGCAGTCTCCACACCACCGCATGCCTTTTGACATCCCAGCAGCTAAGGCCAACAATATGCATGAACGTCTGCATCGAGACATAGAGGTGGCACAACACGTACACGACGCCGCGGACCATATAACACACCAACAGACGCATCCCCGAGTCCAGTCAATGAGCGGAACGTGGTGATATGTCATCGGAGGCGTTCGCAGAAACGGTTTCCGCTTGGCTTGGATGTGGTAGCGTGCATAGGAATATCCAGCAATCTGTGGGATGGGCGTAATCAAGGACGGTAAGGAGAGCGTGGTAGACATGTACGTACAAACTTCGCGCCGAAGCCATAACTTCACTTCACGGGCTGTACAGACTGCCACTGCCAGGCGGTAACATACGTAATCCATTCGATCGGACTGTCGGCACTGGTTGGGAACGTAATCCCTTCGGGAATGGTCTAGTAGTTCGTTACATATGATGAATCGTCAGAACCCCTTGCCAAGTAGGTGCTACTAGGGGAGGAAGCCAGGCAATTCACCGAGTCGCTGTGGAGGAGAATGTAGCCAAAAGTTTGTAAGACATGTTATGCTGGCGAGAGACAGCGTTCGAAGCGAGAGACCTTTATAAGGCCCTAGCGACTGAGCGAAGCTGAAGGCATAGCTAGAGGCTGTGCCGCGCCGACATCTTTGGTCATCCAGAAAGAATCGCAGACTATCCCCGTCGTCTAAGCAACGACAGGACGAAGGCGGTGTGGCAGCATTCGGAAGCCAGTTGTGCCTGGTAGGACAATGACACTGCCAGAAGCGGAAGACAAGGGTGAAAAGCGGCGCATTCCATGTAGGGAGGAGGCGCTCGTACGCGTGCAAGGAAGAGGCATTCTGATTGGTCGAAGGTTGATTGAGGCCTAGGTGCAGGCAACACCACGAAAATGTTGCGTGTGCCAGCAATGCATTGTAGTCCCTTCGAGCACCTTGAAACCGTTGATTGGCATTGTTCATGATCATGAGGTCATATGTATTTGCCACCGCCGGATCACGAAGTGTTTCAAGCTGTTTCACGATCGCGAGCAGCAACCTGTACAACCGGCCGCGGCCAGGTACAATAATACAATGCATGCCTACCAATTGTGATACCAGTTTGTGCAGTCCCGGGCCCACGACTCCCGCCTGGCTCCACTATTGTTCGCGTGTCGGAATGACTCGAATTAGTAACTATTGCGGACAGGATGAAAGGGAAGTCCGACACTGAAGACCTGTCGTACGGCATACTTCGCTAGCCTGTATGCCTATACACCAAGTAGGGTGCCCCTCCAGAGGGTCCATGTTCACGGTGTCGTCCGACGACGGATCCGCATATACAACGTACCCGCTCCCGATCATCATGCTGTGAAGACATTTCAATCTTAACAAAAAGAGAGAGAGAGAAGACAGAGATCAGGCGGAAAAGAACGTTGTAAGCATACGCCCTCGCGTGTAGCTCCCGAGACGTAGACCTAGTCACACGAGTTTGTTCAGCAAGTGACCGGCGTGTTGTACGCCATTCATCTCAGACATTTTGTATCAGCCAAAGGACGTATCATGCCACCGACCCATACGCTGACCCGACACCCCGGCGCACAGTCAAAACGTACGAGGGCTTCGACCGACGCATGAGACATTAGTCAACGCACGAGCACGGCAGCCATTGGTAGGTAGCCCAACGTCGGCCTTCTTTCTGTCCTTCCCGTACGCTACAACGGAAAGGAGTCTAGAGAGCGTGCTTACTATGGTCTCACCCACAGGATCAACCGCGTACAGATTGTACGCAGACATCGCCGACTGCTCGAACAAGATATAGCTCCCACGAGCGCGTGTCCTTCCATCGGCCAGATGCCCTGCGTAGAGTGCTTCTTGACATTTTCGTGCAGCTTCTGTCCGAATGGCACATACACGCGCTGACGAGCTCCGCCCAGTGCTCGGAGGACGAACCGGGGTAGTCCTGGGCCTGCGACACGTGGACGAGGAGCAACGAGCACAACGCGCAGATGTAGCCTGTCGCACGCATCGCGGAGAGGCGCGGCGCATACATGAGCGTGCTATGCACGGAGGTTGAAGGGCCATTCCCGTTGGCAGGGCCGCCTGAGACGGAGAGCTGAACGTGTAAGTGTTGTCCTGCAGGTCGCACTTCCTTCTTCCCTGGTGTGACGCGCGTGGGGAGGCGAAGGAACGGTGACGTGCTGAGCCCACACTTGAGTATGAGACATTCATACCTATCGCTCGTCTTCCCCGGAATTTGCGCTGCAGGTAGGACCTCTGCTTCCAATGTCGCACCAGGTAACATGCTAGCTATGGTCAAGAATACTGCAGTGTCTCGTCGTACTCCGCAACGTACATCCTCCAGATTGGCTGCAAACCCTCAGTCAAGTGCAACACCAGTGGCTAGCGTAGACTCACTTTGCAACGTAGGCATGATCGCCACTAACGAACTGACCCTCTGCATCCTCGACGCTCTTGACATCTTCGACACCGTCGTCGGAGAACCCGTCGTAGGCGAAGATGACCTCGACGAGGACAACAATCACGCCAGCGGCGGTGCTGACATACTACTACTCCGCACGCTCTTACCCAGCGAGTCCTTCCTCTCCGGAGGCACAGGAACGGGCAACGGCTCTAGCTCCCTCGGGATAGGCTCCTTCAAGAACTCCGGTAGAGCGAGCAGAGCAGTCAGGTTCTCCATCTGCATTTTTGCTCGGGGACGGCCTCGCGCATGAAATCTGGAAGCGTCAAGAGCACTTCTGGGTGCTTTACCTTCACTCACGGCATGCTCACGGACGGTGTGAGGATGGTATCTTGTGAATGTAGTCTTCCCGCAGCGGCATGCCGCAGGAGTGATTCGACGAACGCGTCTCGCTGTTGCACATGTCAACTTTGGTCACCCAACGTGCAATGCACCACGTACGTTCTCGACTCGGAGATCCCGCTGCCTCGCCTGCTCGGGCTTCCTCTGCAGCCCGCCCTCCAGAATGACTGCCTGGTCTGTGATTCGCCTCTCAGATGCTCTCCCGATGAGATTCACCATGCTCTCCAGCTCCTGAGCGGCGCTGGGTTCCCTCGCGCGCTGCTCCCCCCTGCGCGCCAACGCCCCTCCATGACTCGCCTTCTCAAGCTCCTCGACTGTGCTCTTCCTCAGGTCTACTCACTGATTATGCAGCTGCGGCGCGACGAGGTAGAGACGGTCAAACGCCAGGGTGACGGCTTCGAGGTCCATCCGCATTTTCTCGCTAAGGGCCGCCGAGCTTCCGCGCTCCAAGATGCTGGAGGTGTCCGCGATGGAAGCTTAAGAATTGCTCGCCTTCAGGCAATCCGGCTTCGTACTGCGGAAGACCTTCGCCTTCCAGGTGGACGTCGTACCACGCAGCTTCGTAGTCTGGAGGCTGCTCGGGAGGAGGGTGACTTGTTCGCGACCGACATAGTGACAAAATCCCTCGAGTTCTTCAATCATCTGTGCCCAGACGCTACCAGCCGCACAGGAGACACCACGCGCGAGGTCGACGTACTAGTGTCTCGGGCGAGCTGCAGATCCCTCAATTCGCGGCGCAGGGCGGCGACTGGGTCTGCTGCAGTATTGGAGGGCGTACCACTGCACTAGGAGGCAACACGCGTCAATATAGACGCGGAGCGAGGCTGCGAGGCGGTGAAAGTGTCCAATCAAGGATGCCAGTGGACAAGGACAACATCCTGGGGTGGGAAGACGTCCGAGTCTGTCAGTCGGTTCGCTCGTGTTTGCAGTTCGCGGACACTGTCGTCGCTCGCTGTCGAGAATGAGGGCTCAGAGGACGCGCCGCGCCCGGCGTCGAGGGCCCGGAAATTCGTTACTAGTGTGTACAAGGAGGACGAAGGCGGCGTCCTGAGGCCGGGTGAGGCTGGGGAGCGCGGTGGCATGGAGTGTCGGCGGTCTGGTATGATGGGTCGCCATTGCGGTGTGCGAGAGTAGGTAGTTAAGAGTCGTTATACAGGAGTTTTGGACATTACGATAGAGGGCATCACATCCTCTTACGGCGTGTCAGCAAGCGTCTGCACGCCGGATGTCAACGACGGACTCACGGAGAGAATTTCACCATGCCGCACCTCGCCCACTACCGATGGGCCCTTCACCCGCAGCATCTCTTGTGTCCGCGAGATGTTCGCAGAACCGTCGGAAGTTCGGAACTAAGGTCTTGCGAGGCCGCATGCTTTTGGCTAGCCTCTTGCGTAGCGTGCCAATGGTTGTGATCCAGCTATAGGGACTCGGACGCAAGTTCGTGCAAGAGCTCCTCTTGTTCCTTCTCAGCGCGGGTGAGAAATGGTGTCGGGACGCTACTTTGCAAGTCGTCGCAGAGACGGCTCTCATTGAATGGTGTGGCCCAGTGCTCTCCCTCTCATAAGTTCGCCTGCATGCTCGTTTGACCGCTGTCCCGCTGAACCTCTTTCCTGTTGCACTCCCATTCACTCAAGTGCCGGCTCACCGGCTCGCCCGCGCAGTTCCGCGTCGCACGCATCTCGCCTGGGCCCCAGAAACATCGCATTCATGCGCACGTTCTTGATATCCGGCGTCTTCATGGCCGCGCAACGCTCCTCGAGGAGTTCTTGGCACGAGGAGAGGAAGGAGGACAGGAGGTGAGCCGCGAGGAGGACGCCGATCGTGACGAGCGCTGCATCTTCGAGGGCGATGCTCACAGGATGCGTGGCCTCTGGCCCCTGGGGGAGCAAGAACAGTCAGAATGTATGATTAAGCGATGTATGCGGACACTGACCTGCCAGAAGGCGAGATGGAGCGCTGCCGGGCCCGGTGGTGCTAAGGCTGCCGCTGTCCTATGTGTCGATGTGGCGAGCGAATGATATGCAAGATACGACAGTTGATACTCACTAGATTGGGTCATCAAGGTTTAACAATGTTATTAACAAGGCAAGCTGGAAGTTGGAACGAGAGCATTGAGCTGCGAGCAACGCGCTTTGATGTCTGGCGGAAGGATCACGTGCCATGCTTACTTCGAAGTCCTCTGCGGCCTGCCGATCGCTTTCCCCTTGCGAAGTAGTGCTAGTGACCTTCGCTCACCCAACGTCGACGCCTTGTGTATAGCCGTGTGCGCGCCCGCCGCCGTGCATTCCGCGTGGCTGAACACATTGTACCACCACTCGAACCTCGACGCCGCTCGGCACCCATATTATATATGCCGAACTGTGGTACGTGCGGTCTCTCTGTCGTTCACTGACGCGTCTCTCTATTAGACATATCCGCACTGTGGCACGCTCGAGTACATGTCGTGGACACTATTCACGGCTGATTGTCACACAAAATGACCACCTGCGGCCAGCACTTTCAATTCTAGGCGGGCCATCAGACCAGCGTAGTCGTACGCGTTCCCAAGCTGTCGTACAGCACGCAGCGGTGAGTTGCTCTCATTTGTCTCACTCGGTCCTTGTACTCGTGACTGTCTGGCAGTAGTTGGCCCTGTAACCTACGACGCCATGCGATGTGAAGATGTCTCGACGAGTCCGCGACGCGACGCGAAGATGTCTAGGTGGCCGTTGTACACGAAGTAGTAGGTGTCCCGTGTCGAGTGCTACGTGTTTGCCCAGTAGTAGAGATTGTGAATGCCAGGGTGTATTGAGCAGCAGCCCGACCCCCTTGACCGGCCGTAGCCCGCTTGACCGGCCGTAACCCGTTTGACCGGCCGTAACCCGTTTGACCGGCCGTAACCCGTTTGACCGGTCGTAACCACCCGCTCAAACGGGTCGGTACCCGGCCTGCGCAGCTCTAGACGCAGGTAACGCATAAGTTGTGAGTCGAAGTGCTATTGGGCAGTAAATCAGTAACTTACCACATGGCATGTGAAGCAATGACCTCGCGCCGCACCTGGACTCATGGGTCAATGTCCATCGAAGAAGTGTCTGGAGGAGGAAGAGGGGTTGAGGGAGCTGGTATGATCCATATTGACAAGTATGGGTACGAAAGGCAGAACTTTGAAGCTAAGCACACCATTGCTGATGGCGGTTGGTACAAACGGGCTTGTAAATGGTGCACTTTGTCATTCTTCATGCACAGTGCACGTCAAAACACAGAAAGGAGCTAGTGAGGGATAACTAGGATAGCGTGAACAGCATGCGCAGGGACAGAGGGGGAGAGGGAGGTACGGGACGGTCGAGCTCAGGATGTACCTAGGTCTACATAGGGCTCCGCCCTCAGTGACCCTAAAGGGACGAAACAAACAAACAAACAAGGATAGCGTGAGGAGAAACTATCCAGAGTCCAAGTCAAAGCAAAAGACACGTGATAGCAAGACACAGCATAAGAAGAATGCATGACGGCAAGCCACAACAATAGCGAGGAACAGTGATGGTCAGAGTGAAGCATCTGCGAAACGCACATCAGCATAAGCACAGTGGACAGGATACCAATTACGGACACAAGTAATCTCAAGTGATGCAACAGCATACTTGTTGCTCACTTGCGGTAGCAGAGTCATGGGTAGTGCGGCTTCTGATGACATCAGTACCCAACGGGCCACACTTGAGTTGGCACCGCCTCATTTCCTTCACGATATTGACAAATGTGTCGTAAACACCCCACCCCCGTTTTGCGGAGGTTTCCGTTATCTCCACGTCCAATTGCCGTGCATACTGACGGATAGTATCGCGAGAAATGACACGCTCCCGCTCCTGAGTAAGGGGTATGTCAGTGAGGGACAAGATGGATAAAGGGGTGCTGACTAGATCTCTCTTGGCGGCTGCAACAGCAATCGCAACCTCCTGCTGGACATTACTCATGAACCAAGCACATCAACAATAGGGACTCGGAATCACTCACATTTTGTGGACCCTTTAAAGTCATAATGTATTCTTTGAGGTTGACTACATCATGTAGTGATTGCTCAAGGGTGACACTAGAATAGTAAGGCAGTGAGGAAAGAAGACACTGAGCTGAAAGAAGCTTGGTCTTACTCAAAAACCAGGATGAAGCCATGCGCATCCTATAGAATAACAGTCAGAATGATGCAGAGGTGCTATTCATGATGCCATACCCTGATTTGGTCCTCATCTATGTCCTTGAGGCCATCTATGCCAGGTGTATCAACTACTTCCAACTGATCATGTCATTGAACACAATGCATACACAGCATGAAGCCAGTCACAGACCTTAACAACACTGGGATTGATGTGCAGTTGGTGTGTGTACGTATCTAACATCTGTCAGCATACCTGTAACAAGATGCAAGTGCAGCGAACTCTACCATGTATCGTAGGCAGGTAAAGATGACTGAACACATCATAACAGAGTCGACTGATCAAAGCAGTCTTACCGACACCACTGGCTATTGAGACTTGATTGAGACGGCAGAGCAACAGTGTGCAGGAATGAAATACCTCCTAGGACGAGTACTCGATAAGACTCCATGTGGAATGAAATGAATGTGGGGCGTATGATAGACAGCGGAAGACAAGGCGTGACGGGGCATGTCACCGACGCCGCCTCGAAGACCACCCAGATTTAGATGCATGTCAAGGGAATCAAGGGAATCAAGGAAAGCAAGGGAATCAAGGGAATCAATGGGACGGCGCCGGCCTCGCGAGCACACGAGGAATGCTTACGTAAAATCAAGGAGATCAATATACTCAACCAACGAACGGTTACGCGCGTACCTACTACCAAGAGCGTACGAACCGTACTTGATTGGTATCTGCGTAAGTTAGCCCCCGAATATCATCTCCGCCACTCATGCGCTCTGCAGCGGACGCAAATCACCGCGCGTCAAGGCGAATTTCCACGCCGGATGTCTGGAGGAAAGATCGGATATCCAACGTATAGTCACCAAGTATCCGCAGCGGAAAATGGGAGGAGATCAGTAGGAAAGCGTCGTTTTCCAACGCCTTTCTGACGCCTTTGCTACCGCTTTCCGCGGTATCCGCACGCACCCCGGGATATCTGCACGCCGCTGTCAGCCTCCACTAGCGCTCACTCGCCGTTCCGGGAGGATCGCTGCGAACAATACATGGATCATTTCGATGTAGTGAACAGTGTTTGCTACAGGGTACGGCACAAGTGTGGTCATCAAGCTCAATACACGTCTCCCGGTCTCCGAGATGGAGCTTGGCAGCTGCTCAATACTGCGCGCGGACTCGGAAGCCGAGTTACTGAAATCGAAGAGTCAAGTCTACTATTAGTATTCTGCAAGTGTCCACGCACCGCGTGGTGATGCCCAGACTGGGACTTCGAGATGATTCATTGCTTGAATTCGACTTGTGAGGGACCAAGGGAGAAATTGTATCAGAATGTTGTGCTGTTCTGAACGAGCCATGAGAAAAGTTCACCGCACCAATGTTACAAACACTACACTTGCGCTCGCCCCCATCGTCTTGCTGTTCCGGCTGACCGTCTCAGTCCCTGACCGAAATGGGTCGAAGAATCTGCAGGGAACGGAGGCAGAGCGCCCGGAGCCACCGAAGCGTCCTCGTCTTGATATGGTATCAGCGAAGTTGTCTAACGACATAAGGAAATGCCACGAACCGGATGCAGCAAGGGCAAGAGGGTCCTATGTTTGAGCATGGTATCCAGAACAGAGAGCGACGGCGGGGTATGAGGAGCGATGCAAGAGACAATGAAAGGAACCGCCACAAACCAGATGCAGTGAGGACCCGGCCGTGGGCCCGGGCAGTTGTGGTGGGTGCCAGAGTGGCGATCATCAGCACTGGGCACGTCGAGCGATGAGCTAGATGTAGGCGCGGCGCAACGGTCAGTCGAGGTTAGAATGGGCACGTCGGAGGCGCCGCCGTGCATGCCGCCATGCCGCCGTGCAAGACACCAGGTACGACCTGTAGGCCGTACCGGGGCGTGTACCTACGATGTTCGTGGTCAATTGCATGCACGACGAACTGTGTTCGTCGATACGCGTATAGGCGTGGACACTTGCAGATGGAGCGGTGGCGGCGGCGAGGGAGTGGGTACATCCGGTGAGAGCGTACCTTTAATCTTCGAGCCTTCATGCTCCTCCTGCTTGTTCGCCCCGTGCCATTACAAGAGGGTTCTATGCTCGAGAGTCGAGCATGGTAACCATGACAGAGAGCGACAGCGGCCGTTGGTGAATGAGAACACCTCCTCGTGGCGTGTCTGCGCCGTGATATGGGAGTCCTGATCATCAGTTTCATCGAAACAGTCGCTTAGACATACCAAGCCTCAATATTCATCGCGTAACTCAGCCTCTGTGCTGGATTCCTGCGCATATAAGTACCATCCCGGTGAGTCTTGAGTTCATTCGAGCTTACATGCGCAAGAGTTTCGCGCGAAGGGTCTTGGCCGCAGCGGCTGCATCGGTTGTATGGTCAGACGTGTGGATATCGGCATGGTGTCAAAGAGCAGAGCAGTAGATCTTATTGTGAGGATCTGAGGAAGACAGTGTGGCCACGCCACAGGGATGGTAGTGGTACAGGTCGTATTTGTATGCACGAGGTCAGAGGCTGTATGCGCGTCGCGCGACGCGACGTGATGGACACAGTCACGGGCCCGTGCGACTGCCTTATGTAACCTGAATAAACGATCGATATTGGGCGGAAAGCCCAGTGTAATGCACACCCTGTCAAACAACCCTCGCCATTGCAGTCGATGTGAACGATCGACTGCGCCCGCCCCCGTCTCAGGAGCCTTGGCCGTCCCATCTGCTGCAGCACCCGCCGCGCCCGCACCCTCAGCAGAGCCGGAGACGCTGTACATCCAAAACCTCAACGAGAAGATCAAGATACCCGGTGAGCCCGTCTTTACCAATGGCTCAAAGCGACGTTGTGCTGACTGTATGCGCCGCAGTGCTCAAGGCGTCCCTCCGGAGTCTGTTCAAGGCGTATGGAGAGGCCCTTGACGTCGTCGCACATAGCAATCTGCGCATGCGCGGGCAGGCGTTCGTGTCGTTCGAGTCCGCGAAGATCGCGAAGAAGGCGTTGAAGGAGGTGCGAGGGTTCCCGTTGTACTCAAAACCGATGGTGTGTGCCTTTTCCTTTTACCATGCCCCAGGCGTTCGTGCTTACCCATAGGCAGCAAATATCCTTTGCGAGGACACGGTCGGATGCGGTGGTGAAGAAGATAGATGCTGCGCACTATGAGGAGCACAAAATGCGGAGATTGGAACACAAGAGTGCGTGCAACTCCCTTGCTCGTATAGTGGATGCATGCTGAAGCTACTGGCTGCAGAGGCTATTCGTTACACCAACCCCTTGAAGCGGAAGTACAAGGCATGCAAGCAGGCCATGGAGAGTGCGTATATGCGCATCATCCGTCGCTATTTTTTGTCTGACGTCTTGCAGTGGACGGAACGGGAGCCGTCCCCGTATCCAAGCGGCTAAACGTCCAGATGCCCGATGAGTACCTCCCACCAAACAAGATCTCTTCCTGCAGAACGTGCCCGAGAGCGTCACCAAGGACCAACTCATGGCCCTCTTCTCACAGTGCATCTCCATGCTCTCGTACTTGACGACGACTTCTGACGTGCTCGAGGCAGATATCCGAACCTGCACGAAGTGCGTCTCATCCGAACAAAGAAGGACATCGCGTTCGTGGAGTACATGGACGAGAGCAGTGCGACGATGCCGAAGGACGCGCTACACAATTACAAGCTCGATGGCGAGAACAAAATCAAGGTGCGTCGCTGCTCGTCCCATGCTACCGCGTGTCTAACGATGTCTTGCAGATCACGTTCGCGAGGAAGTGAACAGCCGTATGGACCTTCCTCATGCTCCCCTCATCCTACTTCATACGCGGTCATCTTGTTGCCAACCATACGCTGCTATGCGTCGTATCGTACGTGTATTATAGTGTTATAGCTGTTTTACATGCCGCAGTCCTCTTCCCATCGAACACGCTAGCGGCGCATAGCTGGCTCTCCGCGCGATGCAGCCGGAGACTATCGCTAATGTACAGCTGATCACCGCTGAGCAGTATGCTAGGGGGCTGTTTCAGAATACATCAATAGGTGGGCGTCCTCAAGGCCACGAAAACCACGCACCTATCGCAGAAGCTACCCGGGCCGCCCTCGACGACCTGTTTTTCCTCGTCTTCTCCGAGGCCAGCTTATGGAACCCCGGCAGCAGCTCGTCATTGTAGACGCCGACCCTGGTCGTGTATGGGCGCGACGCGTGCGGGATTTGCGGCGGGCTGTAGAGGTCGCCCATCTCGTGCTCGTCCTCGACGGTATCGATCTCGACGATGAGCTCGCCGTCGTGCGCGCCGTGCGTCCAGCGGATGCGGCTGAGCTCCGCGGTGCTGAGCAGCGTGATGGAGTCCATCGAGAGCGCCGCGGCGAGCGAGCGGATGCTGAACATCAGCCGCGAGACGGAGACGCAGGAGACGGTGAGCATGACGCTGTGTGGACGGTTCGTCAGACTGGACGGCGCGAGTGGACAGATCACTTACTTGGAGAACACGGCGGGAATAATGACCTAAGGGGACTCAGCTTTAGCTGACAAGGCCTCTTCGCAGGGAGCGGGATACGTACCGCGGGATCATTTGGCCGTAAAGACCCAATGGTCGTAAACGCTGAGGCGGCTGCACACCGTCAGTCACGTAACTAGTAAGTAAGGGGGTGCCTCGACATACCGAATACAGCGACGTGGAAGATACCCCCGCTGTTGGTTGGACTCTGGTCAGAGGGCGGCCCATCAATACATATGCAACCTACTCACTCTCTGACAACGCGAATCATCAGTGGCGAAGTAGAACTTCGTTGTTGAAGTATTGGCCATGACGTTGCCGCAAAGAGAATCGTGTGTAAATCAGGTTGGGCAGGTATACTCGCCAGATCTTCCCCACAGGCGGCGCCGTACAGTGGTGGTTGACGACGCCTGGTATGTTGTACACTATGGGTATGATGCTTGGGTAGAGAAAGCCTATCTCTGCAGCTGTAGCCATGATGACCGTGAGGTACACGCAGACGACTAGCAGACGTGCGATGGGCCTCTCCCCGAACATGTACCATATACGCAACACAATGATGCCTGTGAATGGGCAGTCATATCAATTACAGTGTGAGGCGGTTCGCGGAGGTCCTGACCTTGAATGACGCTGAGAGCAACATATTCCATGACGAACATGGCGCGTATGGCGCCTTCGCAGCTGGTTGGGTCGATTGGTAAGGATCGCCCTCTTACTACTACAGCACAAGAGTCAGCAACGCTATTAAGCACCCGGGCACGGTGTTCTCCGTCGACAAACACAGTATCTCTGTGAATGCCGCCCTCAGCAGGTCGAGGTCCACATCTAAGTGATCCGCACGCGATGTCATCTACACCTCCGTCAGTACACCGGCCGCGTAAGTGGCGGAAGGACAAGAGCCCAAAGACGTACTGCGGCAACAGTGTCGCTCGCGGCAATGAGCTCGTGGTGGTGGTTGTACACGAGGCTCTGGTGCGCGCTGTCGAGCTGGCGGATCTCGGAGAGGAGGTCGTTCTCGCGCTTGAGCAGCGTGGGCAGCGAGCTCGTCATGATCAACTGCTCGTACAACGCCTTCACGTCAAAGGCCGACAAATCTGCAACAAGTATCTGTCAGTCGCTTGCGTACGACACCGCGTCGACCGTGCAAACGAGTCACCCACCGAGGTCCATCGGGTCCGCAGCCCTCCCTGCTCCGCCCATCGGCGGCGGCGGACGCGGTGGACCCACACCCAAGCCGTAATGCATCCTCAATAGATCCCTCAGACAAACAGCACCCGCAAAAGCCCCGCCTAACGGTGTGTAGCAGAATATTCCCGAGAGGACCTCATCCACGCTGAAGTAGATGATAGCCTCCCGGGAGCAAACGGACTTGACACGATGGGCACCGAGGCCATCCCAGACCGGGGGCGGCCGCCAGGTGCTGCGGTACTCAGCAAGGCAGAGCGACTTCCAGTCGTCAAGCTCGCCGCCCATGAGCATGGCAGCCTTCAGCCAGACGGACGACAGGTACGCGTTGATCTTGTCGACGCTGACGCCGTGAATGTCGTCGACCTCGAGGACTGTGCCACCCATGAGGGAGTAGTCGATTGTGAGGCGGTAGCGGTCGTCGTCGAAGTCCGGGAGGGAGCAGAAGACGTGGTTGCCGGCCTGGTGCAGGAAGACGAGGTACTCGTTGAGGTAGTGAACGAACGCGTCCCGCCCGATGATCACCGCGGGGATGTGCTTGAGCGTGGAGGAGGGGCATGGGAGCGAGTGATGAGGGAGAGGTAGAGGACGACACTACCTCCTACTTGATATTCACCTCAACAAGAGTCGATATACAAAAGTAGTAGCATTTCCGTAGAATTCCCGTTCGCTTTCCGTCATTCCGAGCTTACGCGGCCTCCTGCTATGCGTAAATCAGCAACGGCAGAGCAACACGTAGTGAAAACTTACAAAGACATAGATGCCGGCACCGCACCCCTGCCATTTGCCTCCCACCCAGCGCGAAGTCGCCGTCCAACACGCGCACGAGTTTGCTCGCGATCAGCGCGTTCAATGCATTGATGGGGAGCGATTCCCCTCTGTCGCGAGTCCAGACGTGGCATGGCGTGGGCGTCCAGCCGTATTGAGGGCCGGGGCGCAGCGGCAGGTAGAAGGCGGTGGAAGCGGTGTGATCTTCGTCAGGGTGCGGTGGACCGTGAATGCCGTAATCTACAATGGTCCAAGACGAGCGAACCATCTTCGTACAAGTCCTTTTGATCGAGGACAGAGGAGGATGAAGTCGTCATACCCTGCTGTTCGCCTGCGCCGTTAAAAAAGGCGCAAGAATCACCATGCCATCTAAGACATCCGTGACTAGGCAAGGCCTTCGCTTGCGCGCCGGATCCTTGCCGCCAGAGTCGATCGCGAACCGTTTGTCGAGGGGACAGTACTGGACTATGAAGGGTCGAGAGCGAAGAAGGCGATTCATGACGCGGGTGGGAGGGATTGAGATGGACGCGAGAGAGTTTGACGGCGGAGTGGTTGCGGCACAGAAGTGTTGGGTGCGAGAGAGAAAGGGGCGAGTGCAGGTGAGGTGGTCGCGAGACAAAGCGGCGGGTGAAGGGATAGAGGTGGGTGCGAGCGAAAGCGGCGGCGGCGGCGGCGGCACAGAAGTGGTTGGACGCGCGAGAGAAAGCGGCTGCTACGCAGGATCGGGTCATACAATACTGTGGTTACATCATGCGACAGGTATGGCAACGATGCTTTCACTCGCTTTGTCCGCCACATCTGCTACGCTCGCCTCGAGTGGGGCCGAAAGGTTGGCCGGTAGCTCGATGTGTTCCGTGGCCGGGAATCTAGCTCGTGCGTCATGCAATAGGCGCGAATACATCGCTGCCTGTCTGATAGAACATCTCAAGGTGAGTTGCTGCAATTGACACGCTAGGTTGTGTTGCTTACCTCGCTGCATACGCTGCCGCCCCTCGGTTCACGAGATTGTTGGACGGTACGTTCGCGCGCTGTGCCCATTCCTCCGTTGAGTGTTTGAAGAAGCGTTGCACCCGTCGCATCTCCTCCTTGACGATCTCGACTTCCTATCGCCATCTCGCCACGCGCGCACTGGCCCGGAACCAGTCTACTCGTTGCGCTGCCAAGGTAGTGAGATTCATTATCTACGCTACTGGGTGTACACGTACCTTTCAACGCCCACTTTTGGAGCCCCGACCCATGAAACGTCTTGTCACGCCAGATCCACGACACCTTTTCACGCCTCCTACCGACAGTTTCCTCGTCAATCGCGGGTGGTATGCAGTCGTCCTCTAGCAGTGGCTGCAGCGAACAAGGCGATCCTATGTGTGTTAGTCCAACGGCCTTCAGACGTGTGAACTCGTATTCACGACGCAGAATGCCGATCTTCGCCCTCTCAGTTGATCTCAGCTTCGCATGTCTTGTGCGTGCTTGCTGACCGAAGGTACCCGCATTGTCATTCCTATAAAACGCCTCGAAGTGAAGCTTCTGGCGCACTTTCTTGAGTAGGTCGTGTGCATGAGCCTTGCGCAGGCGTCGCTCAGCGGACACGAACTTTGCAAAGCGTGGATGCTTCTGAACAACCATAGGGTATGCCGAAGGTACCAAGATTGTTGCCTCTTCCGGTTCGGCCGCCACACTGGACGGCCACTCGATGTCCTCCCGTTCGTCTTCGAGGGCCAGGAGTTCGGAGCCCATAACCCTTTGCTGCCACAGCAGCCATGCTTTAGCTTATTCTCCATTTGGCCACGCTCCTTCTCGATTTGATTGAAAACAGCTGACGACGGCTCCTTCGCGTGCTCTTGCACTTTTGCTTTCAAGCCCTCTCTAGAGAGATGTACCGCGAGCTCAGTGATTGAATAGCATATAAAGAAAGCAACTCACTGTTGCCGCTCTAGATCGAATGCAGCCATCAGGAGGTCGCCCAACCCGCGCCTATCTGGAGTGGCGCCCGAGACGTCCTCCAGAGCACTCGCTTTCCGTTTCGTGCCTTGGCCTGTGTTGCCTTTGCGCTTAGCGGGATCGTCCTGCTTGAGCTGAGCAAGAACGTCATGTGTTGTCGGTGCTAGGAAACATCAGTATTCAGGCATGTGGATGTGTCCAGTCTACGCACCTTCGTCAGCGGCTGGCTGATAGGGATTCTCCGTGTGACCCTCGACATTGCCTCGATTCATCTGCGCTATATACGCAGCCTCGGCTTGTTTCCACTGCGCAAGGGGTCGATTGCTCAACAGCAGTGTTGCCTCGAGACTGTCTAGCTCTGTGCTTTTGTCCGCGTAGCATGACTCGGCGTCCTTCAGTTTCGCCTGTAGATGGCGCCCTGAAAGGAATGTCAGCACGGTGTTCGGCCGAGATGAACACAACGCACCTATCTTGAAGGTCTTTTGCACGTTGAAGTCCGAGTTGTGCGCGTCGATGACGTCTTGCCGATGACCTGGACCCATCTCGCGAACCGACCGCCCGATTGCATTCAAGGCGGCCCAACGCCGCTCGAGTGACTTGCCATCAGTATTCCCAACGCCAGGCATGTAGTAAAAAGAGCAGAAGTATCGACATAGACCGGTGTGTGCCGAAAGGTGCCACTTGGGGACGCAGCGTAGAATGATCGGCCACGCTTCTCTAAGCAACGAAACTCCAGGGAGAGTCGGCAAGACGGCGGCGATCTTCCGAAGCCTCTCCCACCAGTGGATTCCGTATTTGCAGTTGACGTCGTAGGAGCTGATGAAGAGGCGGAGGGGCAAGAACCATTGAATTCCGGAGAGTGTGGCGTAGTCCACGTTGGCGTAGCGTTCCCCAATGTGCAAGTCAACGGTACCGCAGGGTATTACGAACCCGTGGCGTGTGCAGGAGAGGCCAACTTGACCGGACTTTATCTTGCCTTTGTAACGACCTGCAAGCGCACTGAAGTTGCTGCAGGTGGTCGTCTCGTCCTGTACATCCTCGTAGACGTCCATCTTGTACTCTCGGTACTTGTTGCTGTCGACGTAGTATGCTGCACCGTCCATCAGTGGGAAGTCGTGCGCGTCCATTTTCTTGTCGTGCTGGCTGAGACTGAAGTTGCCGTCCTTAGCGAAATGGAGCGCATCCTTGTACCATTCCTCTTTAGGACGCTCCTTCCATGTTGGGTCCATGTTGATGTGCGGGTGCGGGCAGGCTGGACAGCGCAGCGCCAAGGAGCCCGGGTCGAGTTTGCGCTTGGCGTCGGTCGCAAAGCGTTTCAGGGTTTGTAGATAGTTGAACTGCCTGTGAGCTGTCATGAACTCGCGGTAGCGGTCCTAGACAATGACTATGAGAATGGGTGCTCGTGCAGCCAAGATCGTACTCACTTTGACGTCTTCGAAGAAGGCGTTCGACGTCAATCTCCGCAGCGTACCATAGAAATCGTGCGCGGAGGTCTTTGCTTGGTATGTGAGTTGGGTAAAGAAGCCGAGGACGTGGATAGTGAGTGCGGTTTGTGGCCTGGAGAACGATGCGGGCCACAAACCTGCCTGGCACAACTGGACGGGACGTTCGGGGGGACGTTCGGCGGTTCGGCGGCATTCGCAGTATTGGACAGTGACAGTCTGTATGCCCGTAGTGTGGACGACCGTGAGGTTGCTGGTCCGCGCTGATGATGAGGACGGACACGAGCGTCCGTGGTGGTCCACAGAGAAGACAAGCCCTAAGTCACTGAGTTGCTTGCGCTTGAGATAGGTCCCATTCCAATGCTGTACACGGTGGAGGGGACTGAAGGCATGCTGTTGGACCATACACGACTGGCAGAGCATCGGTCCATTGAAGCAATCCGTGCAGCGAAACGGCGCAGCGGGGCTCATGCACTTGTAGCAGGGTTTGCCCAGGTGGGCGTCCGTCTCGCGGGAGCGAAAGACGTTGAGGAACTTCTGGGCCCACTTCTCGAGGAAGGTGAGCATGATCGAATGTGGGGTCTGAGCGACAAGTCAGCCTGGCTCTGGGATAGTTACATTGTTTGCTCACAGTGTTCGACTTCGTGGTATGCTCTCGTGTCTCTCCCTGCGCGACGCCACTCGACACAACAGGTGGCTCATCAACTAGATCTCCGAGGGTGTCTAGGAGAGATGGAAGACGGCTAGTCGACGGGATAGTCGCGTCCGTAGGTCGCTTCTCCACACGTCGACCTGGAGACCAGTACTGGACGGTCTCTTTTCCATGTTCGTCAACCAAGATGGTGGCCGGGCCGTCGGGTATGACCTCGCAGCCCGTGTCTACGTAGACATATGCATTGGTCTTCTTGCGCTTCCCCTTAGCCACTGCGGAGGACGTTTGAGGGTGTAGAGTGGGGAGGAACGCGAGGTTGGCGGAGATGAACGTAGGGAGACAGACGAAGGTGGGGTGTGGCGCGCTATAGGTCCAAGATCGGGTGGCTAGAGGATGTGGTCCTGCCGCAAGGACAAAGCGAACACGCGACGCCCTTGGCAGTGCGAGGACAAAGCGATCGTTCGACGGCATAGATGGCTTGGCATTTGACTATTGTACAAGGACACACTGTAGTAGAACGTCGCTCAGGTGTGGATACGCGGGGCGCTGTAGTCCGGGGACGGTAGGAACTCGATCATACAGAGTGCGAGCAGAGATACTGAGGTAACATAGCATCGCGGGACGAGGCATAGATCGCAGGTCGAGGCGTACAGGGCGGGACAAGGCGTACAGTACAGGGCGGGATCGACATGTACAGTACGGAATAAGGCGTACAGTGCTGTACAAGGCGCACAGCTTGACAGAGCACATAGTATTGCTGCACCAATGACCTATGTGTGCCATACAGACAGACGCGTGAGGACGAAGAGCTCGCGCGATGAGTAGCGACGCACCTGAGAGACACAACCTCGTTGGACCGGTGGGCGAGAGATAACCATGAAGGCGAGTGAGATGTCGTTGTACCGCGTCGACTCGTAGTTGTATCCTGGAGAGGGCGGTTCACCGGGGACATTCGAGGACGGCGTCACCGAGGTTCGAGTTTGCGCACATTTTGCTCTTGATTGTTGAGAGATATCGAGGGTATCGGCCATGCGAGCGTCGAGAGGGGGATCTCCATGATGGCCGGTAGGGTTCGCTCTACTGCTCATCGCGAGCAGGAGCTTACCCGCTCAGACATCGACGCATGGTCGAAACCAACGCGGACGCCTGAGTTACCGACCGGAGCATATAGGGGAGCGGGCCGCAGTGTCGACGTAGAGGTCGAAGTCGCCGAGATGTGAACGCGAGAAGACAGAGTGAAGAGGGTGATGAGTGCGGGGCGGGCGTTGAAGGGACTTGTGTTCGTGGCGGGACTTGGGCAGGACGGAGCAGCCACTCGCAAACCTAACCCAAGTGGCGTTGACGGTACCGTAGATGCCTCCGCGTCTCGTGTATCCTCCCAGGCGGCACTCTTCACCCTATCGCTCTGCTTATTCTGGTCACTCAACGGACGCACAGAGGCAGATTCTGCGACTCAGGACGATTCTGATCATCCTGCGCGAATCTGGCTTGGCGCAGTGTAACTGCTGCCTTGCACCTCCTCTGGTCGTCTCCGGTCCTCAAGTTGCGCAAGGCCTCAATTCCGACCAGCTTGGCCAAGCAAGTCCCACTGCGGAGCCAACGCTTCTCTGGAGATCTGCATCTCTCAACATCACACACGCGTATGTCTGTACCATCCCTTTCGGTCAACTCTTTAACTGAGTGGAGGCGTTCGCGTGGGCTGCCCGTCAATAGTTCCAAGACTCCTAGTTTGATTTCTTGTGCTCGAAGAACGTTCTCAAGAGCAGTCACACTGTACAGAAAGGTAGGTATGCGAGACCTCATTGCGTTGTTCTTTGCTAAACATGTATCCAGCCAGCCTCGTCTCGAGCCCGCAAACACAGCTCTCGTACTCTCCCGTTCTTCAGGTACGTAGCGCAGCTCTAGCGTACAACTCTGCCTAACTGGAATAGCAGATGGCCGACGCGAATTTGCATCTCCCGGTCCAAATCTCCACCTTTGTGCTCTCCGAGACCCCGCCGTTGCGTGAGTCGTATTGATACCTATCGACGTCCGATGTCTCACCTACAGACACACGTCTAGAATGGCGATTCCCGATGTCACCCTTTGATGCTCGGTGCGCTGCCGATGCGCAGGACGGTCGCAATGTCTTCACGACCCCGACAGAAAATCATATTCCAGAGTTTCCGCGCATCCACGGGCAGGAGATTGTCACGTACGAGGATGGGCTATGGGGACCGCAGGAGTACACGCGATGGCCCCAAATGTACAATGAAGCTTGTATACATCACGCATGTATCCCGCGATACGGCTCGGATGACTCTCCAGGTATTCAAGTTTATGAAGGATTCGGTTTCCAGCCATGGGAAGAGTCACCCACGCATCCGGTGACGGGTTTTGGGTTCTTGAAAAAGATGATTCTGGACGAGCTGTCTACCACAGCAACCCGCGTCATACGCAGATTTGAGCAGGCCTTGTACGACGCCAGGGCCCGTGAGGTGTCTACCACCCATCGGTCCAGTGCCCAGGAGCGTCTCGGGAAAACACTTTGCGTACTCCTCAGGAATGCCCTCGATCGTCTCAGGCTACTGCCGACAACACAGGCACATGCGCTCGTCACCGGTAGAATGGCCCATCGACTCATTCTCGAGTTGTCGGGTTTAACGGTGTATTACAACGTCGTGGCGCCGCGTATGGCCAATGTGAGCCCGCTCGGCCATATGGTCCTCAAAGTACTCGGGGCTTTCGTCCGCAACGCATCCACAGCCCAGCTGTTCCACCGTATAGGGCTCCCATACTGGTACATTCAGCCGTGGTCGCCGGCTCTCATCATTCAGAAGGTCGTCCAAACTCGGCCGTGGTCGCGAGAACTCAGCGCGACGCCCGCTTCGCCTCGTATTCCAAAGTCATGGTATGATCCAGATGGCACTCATCAGGACCCCGGCCGGTGGACACATCCCACAGTGGTCTTCGTATGCAACCTAGTTTGCTCGTCGTCTTTGCCTGAACTACGGAGCGTCATCCGGTCCGAGGGCGCTGAACGCGAGGCCAAACGGTTCAAGGGCGACGACGCTTCGCGACCCCTATTGTCTAGCACCGCCAAGCCCGATTCGACGCAACGCAATGCCAAGAAAAGGGGCACGCGGTCGCGAGGGGCACGCGCAGGGGCCAAAGCCAGAGACCCACATCCTTCAACGACCTTTGATCCTGCACCATCGGATCTCGTCGAAGTATCGCCGAACTGGCATGCTGCTTTGAGCCGAGTGTCACCGCTTCCTTCCCCGCCCCCTGTTGCGTCTGTTTACTTCTTGCCGCCACCATTCCTCATCCTCAATGCATCTACGCATCGGGCCCGCTACATACACAATTACACACGCATACGCCTCTTCTGCAAACAGCGCCTCGTGGACGGCGCAATCAATGGGTCCCCGCTGCGTATTGTCGACTGGCGCCACGCCCTGTACGGAGACTATCGTCTGGATGTGCACGACGACGTTCATGCAACCTCAGCTTCAGGGAGTACCTCCGCGCAAGTACAGGGAGACCGCACACGGAGTGTCCAATATGATCGTGCCCAGGCTGTACGAGAGCTGTTCGCCAAGTGCGGAGGTCTCGCGTCATATGACGAGACAGGTGTCTGGAAGTATCGCGGGCTGCAGGTCAACGTTGATATGGCCAAAGCGGATGACCACCTCCGGGCCTTGGTCGTCTGGGAGCTGTTTGAGATGAATTGGCGATGCGAGCTTCGCGCCCTCGATGATCGTTTGGTTGGCCAGCGTGAGGACGCCTTTCGCCGGTGGGAGCGCGATCAAGTCATTGCAAACGTATGGCGCACGGGGGAGGTTGAGTCTGCGCACTCCGCCCTCGACGCGTCTTCGCCTACCTTCGTGTGGACGCCAGCCGGAAAACACGATTGGAAGAACAGACGCGCCAACTTGCGCCACTTCTTGCACATCGTCAGCGCATGGCCCAAGGCCCCAGAATTCCTCCGTACCAATACTTCAACTATCCTCGACTGCGAGGACGAGTGGCTCTTCAACCAGGTCGAGTCTTGTGCTATCCATTTCTACGTCGACAGCTTCGTCGGGCAGTTCCACCGCCTTCCGTCCCCTCCTGTACAACTTCGCTCCCGCGCTACGTAGTAGAAACGATCGTGTTTGTATAGAGCTCTAACAATGTAACTGGTTCCTGCCCCACGCTTATGAAGTCCGCCTCGTGTTCGCTTTGACTGGGTATCCGGTCGGGTGGCGCACAATACCGTTGAAGGCTAAGTGGCGAACGCTAGTTCTCTCAGCCGAATTCGCTGACGCCTCATTCGTTTCAGGTCTGTGGCCATGGTGTGGCCCGCGTTGCATAAAAGCACGCTGCACGCGCCGCTCGTTCTCCCCTACTTCTGCGCGTCACACCTATCTCCCACTCTGTCTCTCCTGGTCGATCCTTATGAGCTATCTCGACCGGTTCCGTCTATGTCGAAAATGTGTCGTGGACTCGGTGACGAAGGTTGATCAGCGGGGATGGTTGATCAAGACTATGGACAGAGCATAGGGGGCGCCCGCTCCAGGGGACAGCTTCAACGAGATCGTCAAGAAAGTTGCTAAGGATTTCGAGAAGGAATTCTCGCCCGACGTCGTTGGGCTCGTGAAGAAGGGTGGCAAGACGAGATTGGAAACCCCGGCTGAACATCAGAAGCGAATCCAACACCGAGAGATTGTAAGTCTGGTCTACTGCGCATGGATGTTCTGTGTCGCTAACGTCAGCACCATAGAGCATCGCTAAGTATCTCAATAACAACAAGCCACACTTCGACGAGCTCAAGCAGACCACGCCCCGGCTACTTGAGGTGCCAGCACCACCTGCAGAGGAAGAGTCGCAGGAACGCGGGAAGAGCGCTAGGGACTTCTTTGTGAAAGCTCACACTGAGATCAGAGATGAGGCAATCAAGGCCGTCCGCAAAGAAGGCGGATCGAGCAGCGAGTGGCAGGCTGCAGCCAATAATGCCTACACGCTGACGATAACCCGTTTGCAACAGGAGGACCCAGAGGCGTGGAGCGTCCACCTGGAGCTGGCAGAGTGATACATACACCCTTGTCATTAGAGTACAGCCGTGATACATGCACGCCTGTCGTACAGTACAGGCCTATCGAGAACGTCTGAACGACTGGGACATGCGTCCCCGGGACGTGTCGCGGGACGGCCTGCGGGACGCACTGGGCAAGCGTGTCACAGAGAGTGCATCAGGAAAATACCCCCCTGAGAATTCCCGGGCAATGGTCGATATTCTCGGGAATACTCAGAAGGTCAGTAATCGCCTGTCATTCCGAGACTCATAGCAAGAATTCTCAGCACAGTGTACACCTTGTGAGAACGAGTCAGTAATTATTAAGTAATTCTGTCCTGATACTAGTGCAAGTGTGGACGAGTGATATATCGCCGAAAGCGTGGAATGGCACATCCGAGTCACAGCGTCATTCACTACCATGAGTCGATACATGGGTAGTATGTATTGGGCCCCACCATGCAAAGTTCGAAAGGTATGTAAGACATCAATTGCGATGATAAGTTACTGTACATCGCGTGCACCTCTTGTCTGCCTATCTAACAATAGCCTACATGCTCAACTCCACCACCGAGCCCATCACTAGCACGGAGTGCGCAGTCCGTGGGCGCGTCCGAATCCACGATTCAAATTTCAAGCTTTCCTGTCACTGTCAGTCACGCCGGGCCCCAGTGTGGGGCTGACGTACAGGAGTGGACGGGGGTCCTGGCCCCGTTCGTGCCCGCGGCTGTGCACGGTGCATCCCCGTGAGATGCGGGACACATTCCGCTCAAGAATTCGCGTGAGGTTGGCGAGGATCAGCACGTCGGGGTAGTCCGTAAGAACGACGAGGGAAGGCGGGAGAGCGAGGGTGGACGCGAGGAGCGATGGCAGCGCACACCCTGCGCCCAACTCAACCACCGTCCGTCCAGTACGTGACTGAGGGGAGTGCGGGAGGGAGCGTACATACTGGTCTTCGCTTCCAGCGGGATGAGCCCGGCACGCCCGATGCGCCCTGCGAGGAGAGCTCCTGGAGCGTCCCAGATATCCATTATGTATTTATGTAACGGTGTCTACGAACAAACATACCTTGGGAGCACCTGTGAGGACCAGCAGACCGTAGTGGATCACCCCGTCATCTTGCAGGTCGACGGTCGTTGTACAGCCACGCGGAGGCGTCACCTCTATTCATCCGAGTCCATTTTGGCCGGGTGGGTTATCCGTCGGATGAAAGTCGTGGGCGGAGGGGCGACGTTGAGGCGCAAAAGAAATCGTCGACACTACCAGTGGCAGTACGGCGGCAGCGGCGGTGGGTGTGTGCTGGCAGGCGATGGCGGGCATGTGCTGATGGGCGACGGCACCGGCGGGTGCTGGCGTCGGTGGCGGCGGCGAGGTTGGTGGGAGGACGGCAGCGGTGAGGGAAACCTGGGAGTTGCAGTAAGTAGTGGTTGACCGAAGCAGTACTAAGCCGGGGACTTGAGTTGCGTGCCAGCGGGTTGCCGTGTCACATGACTCTTTGCCAGGGATCCGGCGACTGGGCGCCCGGCGCCACGTCATGCCTTGAACCTTCCCACTCACATTCCGCCCTTACTGCGCGACCCTCCTCCTCGCTACTCACCCGCGGCGGACCCAAACGCGCTCAAGTAAATGAACGCGCGCTCGCCGTACCGAGCACCCCAAGTTCGCCATGCGCCGCGCTCGCGCTCGCGCAGCTCCTCACAGACAACGAGGCCGCGAAGACGCGCGTCTTCTGGGAGGTCAAGAACGTCGCAACGGAGAGGTTCATCGACGTGTACGACGAGGCGGACATGCCCGCGGAGAAGCTCGATGACAAGGCGCGTGAGCACATGAGTGACGCGAGCGAGGCGTGGGCGCGCGTGCGCGATGTGCTCGCGCAGCTCAACCAGGAGATCATTGTCCCGTACACTCTCGGTAAGCACGTCATTCTCTCACCCTCCCCTCGTCTACATGGAGGACATGAGCACTCAATGACATTTCTCCTTCCGCGTGATTGATAGGCGACCAGCTCTCTCTCGCAGACCTGCACCTCGCCGCATGACTCGCGTGGCTCATCACCCTCGCAGGCGGGACGCTCGCCGACGATGGCACGGTAGCGATCGGGAAGCTTCAGGCGCACGTCGGCGAGCCTGGCGGCGGGCGGGTTTACGCTCGTGAAGGATTTCTCCATCGTGGAGGGGTGGCGGCGCGCTGGCCTGACCGTGCCGGACCCCGAGTCATGCGAACGCCAGAACAGGTTGGCGGCGTTCTGGGATGCGGTGAGGGAGAGGCTTGAAGAAATGTATCCTTCGGGCACACGGTGTGTCAGCGCACAGCCGCCCCTACCGAGGCATGCACTGATGAGATATCCTCGTTTGCAAGCTCGGTCATAAACACGCCTCTGCCGTCCGCACCAGGCTCATTGTCGGGGACCTTGCCGTCTTCATGAGGTACGTCAGTCTCAAGTCCCAGCTGTGTCTCGTGAAGCCTCATAGTAGTATCGCAGCCATCAAGGTCGGTGGTCATGCTGACACTGAGGTCGGCGAGAAGAAGGACAACACTAGACAGATGGGCGTGGCTGGACGGGTGGGGCGTGCGGATGCGGTGTTCGCGAGGGTCATGGCTGGAAGATACTACGCAGAATGTAGATACCTGATACTGTAGCTACTGTAATAGATGGTTGTCAATATCATTTATCTTACCAATTATCGTGTGCATATGAATCCGTGCTGTGAATATGGTCAGGAGAGCTGAATAGTACCTGCATTGTATGCAGAAACACCAAGTAATGTCCAGCTACTGCCTGAGAAACCTCGTAATTCTGACTCGACGAGGCTGGACATGGCTATTTCTGTGGTTTATCAGAAACGAGGTAAAACTCAATATTACCGCGAAAGCTTGATGATTCTTCAGTGTTTACGGTAATTCCCAGGTGGGTTATTTCCTGATGTGACAGGGCCGTTGTGGACAAAGCGTGTGGCAACGCTTTGCCGTCTCCACTGTGTAGTACTATAAGTATGACGAGTGGCACGGTGATCGGTCGACCCGCTTTGTGTCCACTGTTCGCCCCTCGTAGCCCATAGTTACCATGAATAAAGGTTGGCCAAAGGCTTGTGTGTGGCCCTGACATACCCACTTCTGCTCTCACCGCAGTTTCTCGCACTCAAACACTACTATTCGTGCCACTCGTCGACTCCGCTCCTACTATGCTGCTCTCGCATGTGCATCAGGCCATCACCGCGGCACCAGAGATCGCTACTACACTCGATTTTGAGGTTATCATCAAGTTTGCGGACCTCGTCTGTTGGATGAAGGACGAGATTAGTTCGGTCCAGCCGCCCCATGTTCGAACGCCTCCCGAGGCTCTGTGAGAACAAGCAATAAATGGTACGTCGAGCGCGAGTGTCCCGGGCGTGGGCGATGCCCGAAGGGCAATCGCGTGAGGTAGATACACGAAAATCAACGGTTTATATACCCCTCCCCCCTATCCATTTCGGTCAGGTACTATCGCGGCCGAGCTTGCGAGCTCGCCACGATCGCGTGCTCCAACAGGCTCTTCCTATCCACGTTCATAATTTTCGAGAACGTCTGAACGACTGGGACATACGTCCCGGGGACGCTCTGCGGGACGTCCCGCGGGACGCTGTCACACTGACTGACTTGAGTAACAGGGGCTACTATTTCAGGAAGTCCTCCAATAACTTATGTACTCCCCGTTTCTGTGTACAACGATCGTTGTGTATTGAGTAATTACACCATCTAATCTAGCCTCACGGTTTCAAAACAATGGGTGTCGTTCAAGGTAAAACTATATACAAGAGCCTATGAGTAGTGCCTGTGGTATGCTTACATAATCATCTCCGTCACGTAGCGCGCTGCGCGCCACTATGCCTGGCCTCCGTGACGCCTTCGTAAATCTCAGTCAGTAAGTGACTAAGTCAGTCGATATGTATATCTAGACACCTAGCTGACCGGTGAATTGTCTTTCTGGCCCTCAATAATGTCAATGTCAAAGCTGGTCAAAATGGGAGGTAAAGCGATGATGGTGGCCGGCCACTCACGGTGCTGAGACTGACTGTGACGTCTCGCGTCTCGCGTCCCTCGTCCCCGGGACGAATGTCCCCGTGGTTCCGACTTTCTGTAATTTTCTCATGAGTGCACTCGGTATCACGGACGAATTGACCAAGATCTTATGGGCCTCGCTCAAGGATGTGGCATGGAATCTCCAACTCGGCCACGAGAGTGCGGTTAAGCGCCGTGTTCAGGCCCTGGTCGAACTCTTTCTCCAGCACGGCTATCCACATAATATAAGTGAGTAATTGGTCCGTGTGCTGTGGGCCGCGACTGATCAACTGTTGCCCGATACCGCCAGTGCTGTATCACTTCCGGCCACCTACCCGCACATGTCTTGATCCCCAATGCGCGCATTCAGCGCGGGGCACCGATCACACCCAACTACAGGCGCATGAACTCGGCGAGCCATCCAGCTTCAATGCCACGGCTTTCACGAGGGCATTGGGGCCCATTCCGGCTCGCTCTACATCATTCTACTGCCGCCGTGGGTGAGCCATATGCCGTGTACTATATTGGTCTGACTCTTGGTGTGACTTCGCAGGCTGCCATACTCGCTATTATCCGAATTACTACGTCCATGCTCAAGCTACGACCCGGACCTACTATCATAAACAAACACCGAAGTTCCTCCAGATTGCGGAGCACTTCTTCGTCGAGGACGAAGTCTGTGAGATGTTTGCCAGCCTCATGTGCGTCTCATGGTAAGTCAGTTGACTGTCCTGCCGCATATCGGCATTCATGTATACGTACAGGACATCAGCAACAAATTGCGCACACTTCTACAATTTGAGTCTACGAAAGGCTGATCTTACGGGTCAACTTCCTGCCCAATGGGGGCCAACACTCAATATGACGGTTGAGTATGTCTGGGATGCTTTCTTCTTGTACTCAATTCTGCAAGACCATGAGGAACGAGGTACTTTCCTCGAACTGGAACATGATGTAACCCGCCAATCAGACCGCCTTCGTCCTGCCTTGGATGCACGGAATCGACTGATGGCTGGACCAGGACAAGAGCAGTGGAGCCATGCTTGCGATCTCTGTTGCTCACTGTCAGAAAATGACGAGGGGCGTGTATGTACGTTGCAGCCATCCGTCATTGTATTGTTACGCTGACATAACATGACTAGGTGCGATTAGGTCGGTCGTCACCGACGGCGTGACTGTTGGCCATCCTTGCTGTGCTGTGCATGACTGTACTGAACCTCTCATTCCGCGTAAGGGTGTTCGTTACTGTTGGTCACACGCAGCAAAGGAGACCAAGTGTGTCATTTTATCGTGCGATTCTCCAGCCGAGTCAGGTTTCCAGACCTGTGGGACGACTGCTCATCGCGCTCTCGAGGACTTCAAGCGGCTAGAGAATTGTGCAATGTTCCGACTCAAACAACGCTTGGATCGTCTGCGTACATCGCACGCTGCCACGTCACGGAGCTCCGGACCAGCCACTCTGGAGGGGTTCGAACTTGATGCTTTTCTAGCCTCGGAGAGCATGGAACTCACAGCGGACGATGATAACGATGACGAGCTCATCGACATCGAATGTGAAGAGAAGTCTCCACATTCATGAGCGGACCATACCCATTCCTAACGGTACACCCGGGCTGCATATTCCCCATTGTCAACGGAAACCCGACGCCGGCCGGAGAAATGTGTCCGGAGGTTGCAAACCCACCGGCCGGCACCTGAGGTGCCCATTGTTAGCAGACTGGCCGGTCTTGTTTTGAACGGACCGGCCGATGGCAGGGAAAATCAACAAGTGTTACTGAACAATGGTCCGGAATTTAATCTATGGTTGTAAATGGACCGGCCGGAGAGTGGCAACCACATTTATAACACTCCAGCAGGATTTCATCCCTGTGTTTGGAAATAGTCCGGCCGGAATGCATCCCTATGGTTTCAAATGGTCCGGCCGAAGGTCATATACCTTTGTTTATGATGTACCGGCCGAAGGTAATATATCTAAATTAATAACACACCGGCCAGAGGTGATATACCTACATTGAGAAAGAACCGGCCGGTCATAATGTACCCATGCACAAAACAAACCGGCCGGCCATGACATAGTTTCACTACACATTGACCGGCCAGGCATAGCATGCCTATATTAGAAATGAACCGGCCGGTCATATGGAGCCTGAATATCAATTGCTCCCACCATCCTGGAAACATATTCATTGATGCACTGAGTTTTCTGGACCATAAATGCACTGGACCCAGGTTTTTTGGGCTTTGAATACATTTTTAGCATCCCCATAGATGCTCCCAATTTTCCAGGCACATGCAAACCATTCCAGAGCTTTAGAATCATCAAAATTGAGCTTTCTGGGCTGAAAATAGACCAAAACCAGCCTTTCTGGGCTGGAAATGCATCAGAACACATTTATTGAGCCTCCCAATCCACATTTACAACAGCTCTGAGCCTTATACACCAAGTCCGAGTATTTTACACAATTGCCGAGATTCCACAAAGTCCCGGCGCCGAGGATGCACCAAGTCCCGGCGCCGGGGGTGCACCAAGTTGCGGCGCCGCAAGTGCTCCAAGTTGCGGCGCCGCAGGTGCACCAAGCCTCGGCGCCGCACCGTCTCGTTAAGCGCCGAGAAACATCGCTCGGCGCCGAGGGGTGCACTTGCTTCGGCGCCGAGACTTGGTGCACCTGCGGCGCCGCAACTTGGTGCACCTGCGGCGCCGCAACTTGGTACTACCTCGGCGCCGAGTTGTGCTAAACCTGAGGAATAATGGTGTTTCTAACAATGATCACAAAAAGATTACTGATGTTTGTTACACCAATGACCTTTTGTAGCTCATCTTATAGGGAATGTTAGGTTCATTAGGAAATCTCCTAATGACACTACAAAGATTTGTATGTGGTTACTTATAAAAAGTGATGTTTGTGTCTCATTGTGTAGGGAATGGTCTGTTGATAAGTAAATCTTCTATTGACACTTCAAGGATTTCCAATGGTCAGGCCGGTACAGCTGCTTTTCTTGTCTGGCTGGTAAGTAAACTTACTGATGACACTACAGTATGTTGTATTCAATTTGTACATTTGTAGCTCATCTTATAGGAAATATTAGGTTCATTAGTAAATCTTCTAATGACATCACAAGGGTTTGTATGTGGTTACTTATAAAAAGTGAGGTTTATATCTCATTGTGTAGGGAATAGTCTATTGATAAGTAAATCTTCTATTGACACTTCAAGGATTTTCAATGCTTAGGCCAGTACAGCAGCTTTTCTTGTTCAGCCAGTAAGTAAGCTTATTGATAGCACTACACATATTTGTATCTCATCTTGTGGGGAACATTAGGTTGATAAGCAACTATTATGATGAGACTACAAGGATGTGTACATCTCATGTTGTTGTTATTGTACAGTAGACAGAACACTACATTACAAATGTGTAGTACTATGACAACTTCTGGCTGATCTAGCGCCCACACTAAAGTTGGTAGCACTTACAGCTTGGAAGATTAAGCTATGAGATTTGGCATATGTGCTGCTGGCTGTATGAACATACATTATAGCCACTAACCTAATGTGGGCAAAGAAGTATACTGCCATGGTGAGGAGAGTAAGAAGGGAGCAGGGACATGCACAATTAGTGATATGTCTCTGAAGTGATAAGTTGTTGCCTTTATGTACAACTTTTGTGCCAACATGTGTCCAGATGAACAAGTACATTCATCAAGTCATGTATGGATGGGTTGCTGATACATGTTTCATTTATCCTCATACATTCTGCTATGATCATGATGGCCACACCCTACATATATATCTGTATGTAGAAACCAATCCCAGATGAATATGAGACATTCTATAGAATTAACACATGTGGTCCTAGGTACATTGCTCTGCTACAGCCTACATTTGGAACTCACTGACTTTTCTGTAAATGCTAGACAGTTCAACCTTGATGCAGGGTTGTAACTATGATGTATTCTTTTGTGATAATCAACCTCTTGTTCCTACAGTGTTCCTTTGTCTTAATTTCATTATGTACTAATTAAATACAACACACTGTAGTGTCATTAGTGAGTTTACTTACCAGCCGGAACAGGAAAAGCAGCTGTACCGGCCTAACCGTTGAAAATCCTTGAAGTGTCAATAGAAGATTTACTTATCAACAGACCATTCCCTACACAATGAGACACAAACATCACTTTTTATAAGTAACCATATACAAACCTTTGTAGTGTCATTAGGAGATTTCCTAATGAACCTAACATTCCCTATAAGATGAGCTACAAAAGGTCATTGGTGTAACAAACATCAGTAATCTTTTTGTGATCATTGTTAGAAACTCCATTATTCCTCAGGTTTAGCACAACTCGGCGCCGAGGATGCACCAAGTCGCGGCGCCGCAGGTGCACCAAGTTGCGGCGCCGCAGGTGCACCAAGTCCCGGCGCCGAGCGATGTTTCTCGGCGCTTAACGAGACGGTGCGGCGCCGAGGCTTGGTGCGGCGCCGCAACTTGGTGCACCTGCGGCGCCGGGACTTGGTGCACCCCCGGCGCCGGGACTTGGTGCACCCCCGGCGCCGGGACTTGGTGCATCCTCGGCGCCGGGACTTTGTGGAATCTCGGCGATTGTGCAGAATGCTCAGACCTGTTGTAAATATGATTTAGGGAGCTAAACACATGTGCAAGAATAGCCTTTGAAGCAATTCCAGCCTGAAAAACCTGGATCTGGTCTGTTTCCAGGCTAGAAAGCTCATTTATGGTGCTTTTGAAGCATGGGCATGGTTTGTATGTACCTAATAAAATTGGGAGCATGTAAGGGAATGTTTGTCAATGTATTCCAAGCCCAAAAAACCTAGGTCCAGTGTGTTTATGGTCCATAAACCTCAGTGCATCTTTGAATATGCGTTCTGGCATGTTTGGCACAATTATCATTCAGATTCCATATGATCGGCCGGTTCGTTTCTAATGTAGGTTTGTTATGACCGTCCGGCCCATGTGTAGTGTAAGTATGTCATGCCTGGCCGGTCTGTTTTTGGTGTAGGTAGACTATGACCGGCCGGTCCTTTTGCAATGCAGGTATATGACCTCCGGCCGGTATGTTATAAATGTAGGTACATGAACTCCGGCCGGTGCATTATAAGTCAAGGTATATGAGCTCTGGGTGGTGCATTGATAATGTGAATGTATGAGCTCCGGCCGGTGCATCCATGATGTGGGTATATGAGCTCCGGCCGGTCTGTTATAAATGTAGTTGCCTGATCTCCGGCCGGTCCATTTACAACCATAGAATAAATTCCGGACCATTGTCCAGTAACACTTGTTGATTTTCCCTGTCATTGGCCGGTCCGTTCAAAACAAGACCGGCCAGTCTGCTAACAATGGGCACCTCAGGTACCGGCCGGTGGGTTTGCAACCTCCGGACACATTTCTCCGGCCGGCGTCGGGTTTCCGTTGACGACGGGGAATATGCAGCCCGGGTGTACCGTTAGGAACGTAAAAGTACACTCATTGGGCTCAAGTCTCCTGCAGGCAACCAGCGCATCCGTGCACAGTTTGGGTGACGCCGCACCCACAACGAGGAGCTGGCCGTGGCATCGTGCGGTGTAATACTTGGACGTGCCACCTTCTTTGGGTCGGAGGCCATCAACGGTGTACTTGTATGTACTTTTATTGTCGACACAGATCCACATTACTCATCCATGTCTTCAGCAATTCTGGCGACAACTGTTCCCGACGCGCGCATCACTTCCTGCTGTCTTATGGCACGATCAGAATTGCCGCCTCTGGCGTCTCCTCAGGAACGCAGACGAAGAGACACAGAAATTCTTTGCTGGCTCTGCACTACCCGTTGATGTGTTTCACTTCAAATGCAAGCACAAAGAAGGTGATGTGATATGTGGTACTCACTGCAATCCGTACATATGGAATGAACTGCGCACGGAGGAGGGAAAGTGGCGCTTCAATTCTTCAGCTGCGGAGCAGGCCAACGTTTGGTTTGGAAGCTTCCAGGCGATTACTCGGGAAATGCAGGTTGATAGGTACAATTTCTTCTTGGACGAGATGGTGAAGCGCCATAATCGCTTGGTGGTTGCGGAGTTGCAACGGAAAGGACACCATCCTTACCTTATACCTCGCGAAGAATTGTTGGCCTGCTGAGCTACCGTGCTGTTCTGTGTCTCGCGATCAATCCTGTACATTCAATTCATATGTATATAATAATACAGGCACATTCTGTTCCGACGGCAAAGACATCGAGCCCAAGTTCTGTGCGGCGACCTTCTCAGGTGCCGCACATGCAATCGCCTTCATGCCCTCTGCCTGCACACACTTCATCTTGCGCGGGGATATCTGGATGCACGGGAAGATCCATGTCAGCTCTCCGCAGACATCAGCAAACCCGTGATTTGTCTCACACGCCCTAAGACCTCTAAGCCGGTCTCAGCGGCCTAAATGCATTCTGAAATACCTCAAATGTCTCGACCCAGTCTTGGCTGTCAGAAATGTCTGCGGTCATTGTTCAGTATGATACGTGACGCTCGTGTAGTACCAATCGAATACACATTATGTAGATACTAGCTCATACTATCTAAAACACATGTTCGTGGGCATGATAGTCTACAAATTTGCTAACTAAGTATGCACGGAAGGCATCAAGTGAGTCCTGTGCACGAAAACCAAAGGGAATGAAATCCTCGCCGAAGACTGGTAATAAATGAGCGGCGCGAAATATTGTATCTAAGTGGATGACCTCGCACGGTCGCTTCGCGTCGATGTCGAGCTCCGGCTCCACTATCCACATGCCTGTGTCCTCATCAGGTTCATCACCAACGGGCTCGAACCACTCAACAAGGGCACAAGGATACGGCACACCATTGAATTTGAATGAGAAAAGAAGGTGTACCCGAACGACACTCAATCCCCGAAAGCCGTCCTGCGTGGAGTCCTTCTCGACATAGGCACAGTCATACCGCGCGCCGCTTGAACGCCAAGATGGTGTCGCCCGGATGTGTTCGCGCCGCATACCACCAGCACCCGATGGATCAGCCGGAGCGTAGAATGTTGCGATGGCAGATGGGAAGACCGATATTCGTAGGTTCGGGATGCTGTAGGCGGCGAGTACAGCGTCGTCGTCGGGATCTTTGCCCAACTGCTTGGCAAGGAACTGAGCGACACAGTCCTGAAGTTGAGGACGTTCGATGTGGGTACTCAGTTCCGCCAGCGTACCTGGATAACCTTTAGCTAGTGAAGCAATGCCACGTCAGTAACTGGCCGGAATTGAAGGCATGCGCGGGACGTACCTCGTTGACGCGCTAAAACGACAAAAGCCTCTATCGGAGGCCCTTCTACTACACCCGCGTCATCGTCTTCATCGTCACGCTCGCCGGGACCACCATCCGCTTCATCGCCAGCGTCGGCATCGATGATCGGTACGCCACGATTGGCATTGTCCGCCGCGTTAGGTGCTTGGTCCGCAGGACCTGCGGCGGCATGGCGGGTCGCCTGAGGAATGGGCACGGGGATCAACGGAGGACCTTGGAGCGGGAAATCAAGGTCGTCGACATTGTCAAGAGGACCACCTGCGACCTGAGGTGAGCTTGGAGGACTCGGGGAGAGGGACATGGACGCAGTAAGAGCCTCAGAGAGACAGGTCCCGTCAAGCATGCCGCGCGCAGTGAAGTCGACACGTGCTGCAGCGAGCTTGTCGAGCCGCTGGTTCGTCAATAACATCTGGCCGAGCGCATGGTACCGGTTGGAGCGCCGCCAGGGTTCCTTCACAGCCTTGATATGCTTGCTCTCGGTAAGTGATGTACACAGGCCATACAAAGCGCCGAAATTCCAGGTGTGGCGGGGTGTGTGCCCATGTGAGTGCTGGCGTGGAATCGAGAAGCCGTCAGGCGGGACACCTGTATGACGGAGGTACTCGCGATGGCGATGATACTCGGCAAGGTGCGTCTCGCATTCGTCGAGCTTCTTGTCGGTCTGCACAGGGTGACGAATGCGATACGCGAACTCGAGGTATTCATGAGCCATGCGGACGAGCTCGCGCGGGACAAGACCTTTGATTGCGGCCAGCCAGACCTGTGATTCATCATGGTGAGCGCGTGTCCATGCCTAGCTGATACAAAGACAAAGACAGACCTTCATGAGGGCTCGGGAATCATCGCCCGTCCACTGCTTGAAGTTACGTCCCTGGTGGAAATGTCGTAGGCCCGCAAATGGCGGCATCGCGGCAATCCTATGATGATCGGCCGGCATCAAAGACGCAACTGTGAGGGTCTGTATCTGTGAGAGGATGATCCTCGCACTCACCGTCGGTCAATCTCATCTAGGATCTCTGCAGCTCTTGCCTCTCCATATGCGATTTTGAGGTATTCGATCGTCCAGTCCACGCCATGATCCTTGAAGGGCTTGATTATTTGATGTAGGAGGTCGCCAGACAGTATCTCATGGATGTCTGCGCGCAGAAAGTCGTTTGTGTACGGCTATATGCCACAGGTGAGTGAGATGGCTAGCCGCCAATGCACGACTCCGATCTGCTTACAATTACATTGGCTACTATGCCGTATTCATCCCACAAGAGTTTGGCATCGAACAGCCGGACGAGCTCCTCTGTGAGCTCTTGCGATCGACGTCCTTGTGCAAAGCCATCGTCGAGGTGATGGCAAGGCCCTGGACAGCTACAAGATTTGTCAGTACACAAGGCACACTCCGGTAAGCGTACACATCAGCAAATCCGTCGAGTTGTCTGATACAGTCTAAGGTCATCTAATTTGCCTTATACAGACAAATAGGCAATTCAGGGAATTCAGACGGTAGAGGTTCATTTAGTAGATTCCTGCCTAATATGAGACATCCTAGACAATGCTAGACTGGCATTAGACATATGAGAGCACCACCTAGCTAGACCACTTAGACGGATCAGGCACTGGAGTACTGAAAGAGAACATATATTCGAGCCACAACTCATCAGGCTAAGTACGTAGTCCATGATAATACTACATGCAGTGCAGTGCAAGAGCTGTGAGGTCGACAGAAACTGTAATTATGAGATATTAGTAATGCTTCGGAAGAAACGTGTAGGTAGTATATAGTGAAGTGAAGCTCGACTCAGAAACGCAGGGACCGGGTATACTTCCATGTGAACGCTGGCATGACAGGCCGCCGGAGCAAAACACGCCTCCTACACCATCTGCAGGACACGGGGAATCAGCAAAGGCATTCAATAGAAATGAAGTGGTCGTACATCACCCGAAAATACCTCAGCCGCATGGTTCCCCTTTGCAGGCGTTGCATCGGACTCCTCGTTGGAATACAGGTCATCGTAGTGGGCGGCGGCATCAATCAATGCTTCGGCAGCCAAGAATCTTGTGTTTGCATCCTTGGTTGCCACGAACTCGCGGGCCCCTGATTGAATGCGAGCCCATTTCTCTGCGGTGAGAGACGCGATGGCATCACTGAGGAATGGAAGGCTTCTACCGACAGACTTCTCGGAGAATGCGTCGGTGCGTGAAGGAGCGATCACGCCTTCCTTCAAAGCGAGCTTCCAAGCCCTCTCGACCTACATGGAACAGAGATTGCATTAGCATAGCATTGACAGTGTAGGGTTATAGTGTACACATACCGCTGCAGATGCTAATAGCAGTGCACCCCGCGGGAAAGCAGTCGGCTCTTTGACCACAGGATCGACAAGGCACAGATGCTCGCCAAAGACGTCCAAGATAGCTCCGTTCTCGAAGCGGTGTTGACGTTTCTGTAGTGTTAGACCGTAGATCAGTGTGATGGTTAAGGTGTGCAATATGTAGGGATTTTACCGCTACGGTGACCCCATCCGGCAAGAAGTCAACATGTCCGAACAGATATGGCACTCCTTTTCCAAGCGCGACCTTCGCGCACTCTGCACGATCAAGCGGGTCCTCGATATCCTGGTTCTGCCAAAACCTTTTGACGGCGGCGATCGCATTGGTCCCAAAGCTGGAGCGCCAGTTGTAGATGCGTTGCATAGACTGTATGGTAACGGGAGGTAAGCAACACTCCAACAACGCCATTACGACTCGGAGTCAAGACAATGTTAGCGATGGCTCACCAAAATATACAGGTCACATCGCTGCTCAACTTCATACCCGAGGTCAACATCGGGGAACACTTCATCCCACAGTCGTTCCAGTTCGGCGGCGAGATCGATGACTTGCAACTCCCAGGGATTCGAGAGACGCGCGATGATTTCGATGAGTTTAGGGACAAACACCTTATTGAACGTCATCCTAGTTCCTTTCGGCAGGTCCTGGTTTGTCACGCGAATACGGGTAGCAACTTCGGCAGGGCCCGCGGTTGCAGTTGCTGTAGTGTCAGCATGACCCGCTTTTGATGGCATGCGAGGCCCAAAATCACTCTCCATGCCAACAAAACCCTTCCCAGACGGTTGCTTGCGCTTGCGCTGCGGCATGAGCTCTTCGTCCGAGTCCTCCAAATCTGAGTCAACAGCAATGACTATACCCTGCGCCGGCATTAGCCAGAAAGGTGCACTAGTGAGCACGGAGCACCAGCCGGGAGATATGTATTGGAAACATCATACCGTGTTGGTCCGACGAACTGGCAAGTCACGGGTGTCCAAGTCGGCCATCGCATTCGGAGAGTTGTGGTCAACCACGTCTGGCGTGTCCGAGTCACTGCCGGTCAGTTCAGCCGGCGGCGAAGGCTCACGGTTGACTACTAGACCCGGGGACCCCAGTTGAAAGTAAGTAGTTGGTTCAATCTAGACAAACGGGGACATGCTACTTTACCTGACGGCTCAGGCTGTGGCACGACAGTGGCAGGGGCCCGTCCACGGCCAGAACTTGCACTGCGTGTCTTTGAGTTCTGGGATGGTACTGGAGACGGAGATCCCGTCGTAGTATTCCATGTCGACAACAATCCTGACGGGTGCATCGGCCGAGCCTTCTTTGCGCGCGAAACATCTTCAGCATGCCTGGATAAGATCACGGTGTTTTGTCATGATGACAACGTACTATTAGGTATTGTGGAACAAATAAGCAGGGAAGAGACTCACTCAGACGGTGCCGCTGCCTCCGACTTGCGCTTCCCAGAGACAGCCCGTGGAGTCTGATGACTCGGATGTCCGGCAGACGCAGGGGATGCAGAAGACTTCGACAGAGCGCCTGCAGCAGCTGTGGTTGGCACCAGTGGGAATGCATCGATCTCCTTACGCGTGACCTTCTTTGGTCGAGAGCTCTTTCTCGGAGTGGCAGTGCCAACGGCGGGGGCAGCGTCTTTTGTGTACAGTAGGGAGTGAACGACATGAAGACCGTAGTCAGCATTTGATTCGAGTGAGTCTATGCAACAAAAACTGGTATGTAACGTACCTTGAAGACTGTCAGCAGTGCTGGCGGCCGTGTCTAGGCTGGTCTGTGACGGCTCTTTGGTAGCGAGCGGTGAAGCTTTTAATTGAGCATTAGCAGCGAAGCACTGGGAGTGATGTAATACTAGAACGGCACCGTCATGTTTTCCTGCCTTGGCCTGGCGACCCTTGACTGCAAACTTCGGCGGGAGTGCACGCCCTTGGGCTTGTTCATCTGTGTCGCGCTGCTTCATCTGGTGCTGCAGAGCTGCCACACTTTGAATCGCAGCGCTACGGGACTGTTTGGCCGCGTCGTCAGCAGCCTTCTTAGCCTTCTTAGCCACAGCCATCTCGTCTTTGCTACGGCGTTTGACTTGTTGCTCGAGGACGCGATTGCCGGGGTGCGCAAATGCGTTGGCTGCACGAGTGCGACGCTGTGGGGTCTCGTCATCAGCGGCTGGCGTTGGCATGATCTCGAATGAGGAGAATTAGGATGGACTAGAGAAGTCCTGAGCTGTGATTGAGAAAAATGGAGTGAAAGAGAGATAATTGAACGAATGGATATGTTTCAAATGGTGCAGGGAATGGTAAGACGGTTGAGGGTAGGAGAAGAGGTGATACGACGTGGCATCAGTCAGCCGTTGTAAGGTTGGGGAACGGGTGCTATTGGCTGGACCACCCGGATGTGCCCGTCCAATGAGGTGACAGCCTGCTCAGCAAGGGCGGGCTGACTACTTTGCCGCTAGGTGACTCGGACGCCTGGGCATTGCCGCGCCGCAAGCACGCGAGCAGCCTGAGCGTGCAAGTCTTATCGGCCTTGGTCAAACAATCACCGCTAGAGACTCACCTCCATCGCCTACATCCTCCTGTCATCCTTGACGCAGCAACCGCAAGCCTCCGTCCATTCATCCGCAATGGATCTCCAGTCCGGTATTGCTATCCCTATCCAATGTCACACTTGCCGCAAGACGTTCACCAATCGCTCGGGACTTACCCAACATCGCAATGCTGCACATCCCCGACCTCGCGCCGCTGTTCAGCAACCACCAGTCGAGCCGGCCGAACTGCGTGACGATCAACATCATGAGAACGAAGCAGCGGTCATTGGGCCCGAAAGGGAGCACGAACCTTTGGAAGCTGCACCGATCCGATGGCGACAGATATACCACACTGCACTCAATGGTGAGCTACGGCGTTGAACATGGATCGCATCGATCAAGAACATAATGACTCGAAGACTCACATCATACATTTGTAGCCTTGCCGTGTACCAGAGACGGGAGCTCCTATCTCGACCCAGGAGCACCACCACCAGAACGAGAGAGGCCTGCGGAAGGCGATTGGGCACCGTTTGGCTCGCGCCTGGAGTTTGAGGTTGCGGAGTTCTTGTATCAGAAGAATCAGATGTCGCAGAGGGACATCAACACGTTGATGGGTCTATGCGCCGCCTCGCTGGTTCAGTACGGAGGGAGACCACCGTTCGAGAACTCTGCGCACCTCCTCGATACGATCGATGCAATTCCCCTTGGGGATGCTCCCTGGTCTAAAGTCGAGTTCAGTTACCAAGGACCCATCCCGGAAGGCGACGTACCGTCATGGATGACTGAGAAGTACGTCATCTGGAAACGCGACACTCGTGTCGTGGCCCGCTCGTTGATTGACTGTGAAGACTACAACGGCGAGAATGAATTCGACCTTGTGCCGTATCAGGAGGTGAATGGAGAAGGAGGGAGGTGACTCACAAACGTCTTTTCAGGCAACTGGGCATGGAGGCAGGCAGTGAGTCATCTGTCAATCAAGGTTCAGCTCCCACACCGGAAGTACCGCGGCTTACGGACTCATTCACAGGACGAAATCGCCGCAGCGGACCCTACGACGCACGGCTCGATGTTTGTCCCGCTCATTGTGGGAAGTGACAAGACGACCGTGTCAGTCGCCACTGGGCATAACGAGTATTATCCATTGTACATTTCCATCGGTAACGTCTCAAATAAAGTGAGACGTGCTCACCGTAATGCCGTCCGCGTGGTTGCTTTCCTGGCTATCGCAAAGTGTAAGAGAAAGCACTTTCCGACTCAGTTGATGCAGGCTATCAGCTTACGTGTCGGAACGCCAGGTGAGAAGAAGCACCAAGGCACTGCCGCCTTCCGTACATTCAAACGCCAGCTGTACCACGCTAGCGTCTCGAGTGTTCTCGAACCTCTCCGGCCGGCCATGACTATACCAGAAGTCGTTCGCTGCCCTGATTCACACTTCCGCCGCGCAATCTTTGGTATCGGACCGAACCTCATGGACTACCCCGAGCAAGCATTGGCCGCCTGCGTCGTCGAGGGATGGTGTCCGGTGTGAGTACTACCTGGTTCCACGTGTACGCTTACCGGAGTGTGCCTTGTGTACTGACAAATCTTGTAGCTGTCCAGGGCCTTGCCATCACCTCGACGATGGCTTTGCACAAGGACGTCGATCGCAAGAGCTCACAGAGGAGCTCGTCCGGCTGTTCGATGCCAAACTCTTGTGGGATGAATACGGCATAGTAGCCAATGTAATTGTAAGCAGATCGGAGTCGTGCATTGGCGGCTAGCCATCTCACTCACCTGTGGCATATAGCCGTACACAAACGACTTTCTGCGCGCAGACATCCATGAGATACTGTCTGGCGACCTCCTACATCAAATAATCAAGCCCTTCAAGGATCATGGCGTGGACTGGACGATCGAATACCTCAAAATCGCATATGGAGAGGCAAGAGCTGCAGAGATCCTAGATGAGATTGACCGACGGTGAGTGCGAGGATCATCCTCTCACAGATACAGACCCTCACAGTTGCGTCTTTGATGCCGGCCGATCATCATAGGATTGCCGCGATGCCGCCATTTGCGGGCCTACGACATTTCCACCAGGGACGTAACTTCAAGCAGTGGACGGGCGATGATTCCCGAGCCCTCATGAAGGTCTGTCTTTGTCTTTGTATCAGCTAGGCATGGACACGCGCTCACCATGATGAATCACAGGTCTGGCTGGCCGCAATCAAAGGTCTTGTCCCGCGCGAGCTCGTCCGCATGGCTCATGAATACCTCGAGTTCGCGTATCGCATTCGTCACCCTGTGCAGACCGACAAGAAGCTCGACGAATGCGAGACGCACCTTGCCGAGTATCATCGCCATCGCGAGTACCTCCGTCATACAGGTGTCCCGCCTGACGGCTTCTCGATTCCACGCCAGCACTCACATGGGCACACACCCCGCCACACCTGGAATTTCGGCGCTTTGTATGGCCTGTGTACATCACTTACCGAGAGCAAGCATATCAAGGCTGTGAAGGAACCCTGGCGGCGCTCCAACCGGTACCATGCGCTCGGCCAGATGTTATTGACGAACCAGCGGCTCGACAAGCTCGCTGCAGCACGTGTCGACTTCACTGCGCGCGGCATGCTTGACGGGACCTGTCTCTCCGAGGCTCTTACTGCGTCCATTGTTGAAGAAAGAGGTTTTAGGCTTAGTAAGCCCAGTGGCAGTGAAGGACTAAAGAGTGAGTGAACAGACCAGTCCCAAAGGGAAGATCCTATGCTGGCAGGCAGAGGAGAGGACGAAGGATCGTTATCATTACAGGGCAAACCAGCCCAGTATATATACACATTTGATACAGGTCACATGCTGTATCAGTGGTTCATCAGTAAGCACTAAGTCCGAGGTTTTGGGGATATGAGTAAGCTGGTAAGCAGCATGAGTAAGCCAAAACTCGGAGTTTGATGTGGAGAGATACATGAAACATGATGGAACATCAAAGAGTGATATAGGACGTGATGGGACATCAAGGAATGATATGGAACGTCATGGAACATCAAGGAATGTTGTGGAATATCATGGAATGATCTGGACTAAAGTCACATGACATAATCTAGGCAAAGTCCATCAAAGAATGTATGTAATCTGACATCGCAGAACAAAAGTCCATATCCATACATAACTGATAAGATAAGAACACTGAAAACTCGGAAGTTCAACACTCCCACTTGTTCAAGATGTTGAGTATCTCATCATGCCAACCGAAGACCTGAATTTCTCGATTCCACTGAAGGGAACATTCTTGGTCAAGGCATCAGCAAGTTGGTCTTCACTTGCGACAAAATAGATGTCCATCTCCCCATGTTCGTGGAACTCTCGATTGTAGTGATACCGGATTTCTATGTGCTTGGTGCGGCGATCCACAGCGGGGTTCACCGCAAGGAAAATGTTGCCTTGGTTGTCAAGACAAAGTGGAGTTGGATGAGACATGTTGTCTCCCAGTTCTTCTCCAAAATGACGCAGCCAAGCCATCTGACGACAGCACATCAGGAAAATCCCCCCCTCGGAATTAGCATCAACACCGCAACATTCACAGTATTACTGCGAATACTTGTGAATACTATACATTGTGAAAGTCATTCGTGACATTCTCAATACTAGTGCAAATTCTTATGTATGATATGAACCGTTTCTGTATACCAAGTAACATTCGCGTCATTGACGTCATTCACTGCGTCAGGCGCCAGGTTTGCATACAAAACAGAAATAAGCATTATATTCCAGTGACAAACGAACATAGTGGTACTAATACAAGGTCAAAGGCTTTGGTACTAGTGATGTAGGTATGATAGAACATAGTACATTCATCGAGGACATTCTTGCTCATCCAATGTACTGGAGGCTTACCCGTACCGTACCTGCGAGGGTGGTACCCGCCCGGCGGGTACGTGTCAGCCGCGGGTCTCGCAGGTTGGCGCGGGTGCGGGATTGGCGACGGCTCAAGCGGGCGAGGAGAGCGGTGGACGGCGAGTGAGCGTGCGAGGACGCGCGCAATCGCGCGGGCAAGCAGGGTGTGGGCGTGCGGGCATGTGTGCGGGAAATCGCAAGCGCGAGGAGCAAGTGGGTAGATAGATGAGTGGACGGGTAGGCCCTGCCCGCTGCCAGTTGCCGTGCGTATCCCGGGTACGTGCAGCCCGTGCTGCGCGCATGGCACCCGCTCGTCGGCCATTGTTGTGTGTGGGGCATTTGCCCCGCCCGCTGCTGGTCGCCGCTTGCATTGCCTGTGCGGGCAGGCTGACCCGTTGCCCGCCGGTCCACTCACCTGCTGGCCTGCCTCCCCATCTATCATTTGTCTGCCCTCCTATTCACTCATCGGTCTACTCACCTGCCTGCGTGCTCTCGGCCTCGCCCCCACCCGTCCCTGCTGGCATTCGCTTGCTCGCGACCTTGTGTGCGTGGTGTCCGGTCACTGGCCGTGCTTGCGCCCTGGGCATTTGCCGTGCCCGTTTGTGGTTGCCGTGCGTGTCGCCTGCGCGGGCAGCTCGGTCGCTTGGGTGCGACTTTGCTCGCCTTTGAGGCGCGACCGGGCGGCGGGCAGGCGTGCCGTGTGCATGCATGCGAGGGCGCCGGGTGTACGATCGCGCAGGTGGGCGGTTGAGAGGAGAGGGTGGGTATGTGTGCGCCTGCGCGGGGCGAGGGGCGTGGCGCACGACCACGACGAGACCTTCAGTACGCATGGGCACCGGTCCTACCAATCTTCGTCAACGAGCTCGTGGTGAGACGAGTACTACTCACCTTTGGTGAGCGGCGAGCCCGGCTCAGAGATGTTGTTGATGACGAGACGACAGTAGCTCTCAGTCGCTAAGTCATTAACGCCCGCGTCTCGACCGGAGGAGAGCACGTGACACGATGCCACCGCCACGTCAGGCACTCCCAACTCTCCCTCCTACTTACTGTCTCATCACCCTCTCTCTCGTACGACAGCAGAGTCAAGTACCCCGCCGCCTCCCTCGCCAGCTCCCACCGCAGCTTCATCTTATCATACCCCATCGTCTCCTTCCAATACAATCACACCAGGCAGCGCTGATACCCTATACATATAAGAGAACCGACACGTGAAAACCCTCAATGTTATTGCACAGACAGGCGGCGGCCGACATCTTACAAATGACTATCATGATAGAGTAGCTGATAGTCGGCTGCTCCATGAAGAGTCAGACGCATGTTGCAATAGAAGCGGTGCCTGCGGCCTTGCGAGGCACATAAACGTCGGCAGGCCGGCTGCTTGTCCACTGCCCATTGGCATAGGGCAGCTGATCGTCGGCTGCTCCATGAAGAATTGGACGACATGAAGCAGTGCACATCTTGAGACGGCCGACTGTCGGCGGGCTGACGACCTGTTAGCAGGCTTGCGGTCGGACGATGGCATGAGAAGCAGTGCAGGTGTCTTGAGATAGGCCGCAGCTGATGGCTATCGCAATAAGGCGGCCGATGGTTGGGTGCTCCAAGAAGAATCACGAGAACCGTTGTAGAAGCGGTGCCTGTCAGTTGCCCATCAGGAGAGCAGTCGCACACACTCGGCATTAAATAAGAAGCGGTACAGATTGCCTTCAGACGGGGCAGTCAAACGTCAAACGTTGAGGCGTTAAGCCCCCATTGCTGTACTGCGAAGAAGCAGAATGAGACCAACAACCCGACCATCAGGCCCCAAGTGCAGTCCGCAGGCAATTGAGAAGCGGTGCTCTTTCAATATGGCATAGAATATTTGTATTGTGAAGGTTACACTGTTACATCGGCGCCGTCCTTGCGCTCCAATACTCGCTGACCAGCGGAAGGCCCTCCACTTTGTGTGCTTCTGTCCAGCTGGGGTCCTGATAGCCTTCCCACTGCACGAGGTACTCCACACCCGTGTTCGTGTGCCTGTGGTCCAGGATCCTCTCGACACTGTACCATTCCTCCTCATTTACCACTAAGACAGGCCCTGGGAAGGCCATCCCTGGACCTTCGAAGGCCTGCGAGCGAACAACATAAGGCCCTTGAACAAGAAGTCAGTACATGCAATAGAACAAGAAGTCAACGTACCCAGGAAGTCCATTGGCCTCACTCTCATCACCTCGTATACCTCGTCATTCTGCTCCAGCTGGGAGGATGTCAGTCGCAAGTGACTGGACGCTTGTTGGCTCTCACCGTTTGAACGGACACGCGAGGGCGAGGGCGAAGACTCAACATCCGCCGAACTGCTTCTATGGGTCGGCCTCTTAGGCTCGGGTCAAAGGCCATTGGCGCCCGTCTGCCTAGGTCGAAGCCGCCCATCCCGCCACCATGCGATGGGCCTGCATGCGAGGAAGAAGCCCCCTGCGCATGCGCTCCAGATGCAGGAGTGGGTGACAAGAAGCGGGCGCGCCGAACTTGTCTTCGCCGCGCAACCTGACGCTGTCGCTGTGGTTGGGCAGTGAGAGGCAGTGAAGGCGATATCCTAGGATGCTCGATGCTGGGAGGGAATGGGGCTCCAGGCAGCAGTGGGCCAGACGGGGGCGGGTCCGAAGAGAAGCCAGGAGGGAATGGGGTTCCAGGCAGCAGTGGGCCAGACGGGGATGGGGGCGGGTCCGAAGAGAAGCCAGGAGGGAATGGGGCCCGAGGCAGCAACGGGGGGGACGGGGGCGCGGGCGAGTCAAAAGAGAAGCCGGGAGGGAATGGGGCCCGAGGCAGCAGTGGGGGGGACGGGGGCGCAGGCGAGTCAAAAGAGAAGCCGGGAGGGAATGGGGCCCGAGGCAGCAGTGGGGGGGACGGGGGCGCGGGCGAGTCAAAAGAGAAGCCGGGAGGGAATGGGGCCCGAGGCAGCAACGGGGGGGACGGGGGCGCGGGCGAGTCAAAAGAGAAGCCGGGAGGGAATGGGGCCCGAGGCAGCAACGGGGGGGACGGGGGCGCAGGCGAGTCAAAAGAGAAGCCGGGAGGGAATGGGGCCCGAGGCAGCAACGGGCGGGACGAGGGCGCAGGCGAGTCGAAAGACGCGGGCGAGTCCGAAGAGAAGCCGGGAGGGGAAGGAATCTGCGCCTGAGGCAGCAGATCATCCGGCGGTTTGTTTGGCAAGAAGCGGCCAGACGGCGGCGGATAAGGAAACTTCGGCAATGCGTCGGCTGGAAACGACGTGAGGCGAGGTCTCCCCGGCCGACAGTACACTTACCTGGTGCTACAGGGCGGGGCCTTCGAACTGAAACCATTGCTGCTGATGGAATCGTTGAGTGTGGAGGGCGAGTGAGAGCGTGCAGGAGCGTGCTCGCTGCGAGTAATGGCCACGATTTAAGGTTTCAAAGTCCGCAGAGAGAACGCGAACGCCGTCGCGCGTGGGATTCAGTCACGTGATACACTCAACCGCGTCAACGTCAAAGTCCAACATTGACGACTTCTTCTCTCATCCCCACTCGTCTTACCCCTTGCTGCTTGCTGCTTCTGCTCCTCAACGTTTCAACCTTCAATATGCACAGAGCAAACAGGGACACTGAACGCTCTGGCCCACTCGGTCACGCCTCCGGCAGAGGCGCTGGTGAGCCTGCGCGCACGAAGGCCTCATCTCCGAGTCCAGAGGACACGGAGCGCATCCTGCAGCTGGCTGGGCGCGTCAAGGCCGTCCTCCAAGCGTCGATCGCCGACCACGATGAGGCCAAGGCAGCACTTCAACATGAGATTGTGAGTCTCACAATCAAACCATTCCACGACTGACAGGCAGCTCCCAGATCAACTCCTGGCCATGGATCCAAGCCTTGGCGGGCAAGGTAAAGCTGAACGCGCCGCTAATCCTTGGCTCGGCAATAGAGCAAGTGGGGTCCTATCAGGGCCGATACCAGCTCTCAGCCATCCGAGAGGATGACCCTTCGCTGGGACGGACCCTTCCCCTGCCCCATCTCAAAAAGGGTGTGGACTTCAGAAGACAGGCGGCGGAGCAAAAGGATTGGTGGAAGCAAGGTAAGTGTATTTCATCTCCGCTTCTAGCTCGTGCTGACGCCACACAAGCGGTGGATGTGGATATGGAGCCGCCTCAGGCTCCGGCAGGGCAAAAGGGAGAGCAAAAGCGGGATGCCCGCGTATCCAACCGTACGTAGCCCGTCTGTTCAAACACGCGGTCAAATAACAGCCCCAACAGCCGTCCAGCAGCTCCCAGTCGAGAAAGCGGGGCAGAAGCATTCAAGAGAGGAAGAGACGAAGGGCCGCGACGAGCAGCAAGGCCGATCCGCACAGAAGCGGCCGCGATACAGCAAGCCAAAGTCCAAGCCGCTCGTCAGCAGCTCGTCGGAGGACGAAGATGCGCTCGCAAGGACGCGGTTCCTCCACGACAAGAGCGCAGGGAAACAGCCACAAGCGCCTGCCGAAACGCCGAAGCAGTACGAGGATGTGTCTGATGAAGAGGAAGAGGAAGAGGCAGAGGAAGATGCATTGGCGGGCAAGGGCGAGGCAGAGGAAGATGCATTGGCGGGCAAGGGCGCCGTGCAGCGCATGGTAAGTGCTCTTTACTTCTCTTCGTTGGTAGACTGAAACCTCTCTTAGCCAATACCCTGCGACCGCTGTCTCCGCGATGAGAAGCTCTGCACGTATTCGACGGCGAAGCCCTCTGGCCGCTGCGAACGATGCCGCGGTGGAAACGCGTGCTCACTGACCCCCCGCAGTGCGAGCACGAACCAGCCTTTCAAGAACAAGCAAGCTGGGGCCAAAGCGCAGGCTTGGCGGGCGTGGGCGCTGGCAAGGCAGAAGGTCAACCTTCCCGTCCCGGATCTGGCAGTTTGGGACGACACGCGAGAGTGCTGGATGGAAGACCTCATCACCTGGGACAATCGGTCGCCCTGGGTGCACGAGGAGCTCCAGGACTACCAGAAGTCTCGCCTGTTAGCTCAGGCAAGCGGCAAGGTCCACCTCATCGCCCGGCGTGGCAAGAATGCGCACGACGCTCCCAAGATGCAGGCGGCGCGGAAGAAGCCCTCCGGCGGCGGTAAGTCTGCCGAGGCAAAGAAGCCTGCCGAGGCGAAGAAACCTGCAGAGGCGAAGAAGCCTGCAGAGGCGAAGAAGCCTGCAGAGGCGAAGAAGCCTGCAGAGGCAGAGCAGCCTGCAGAGGCAGAGCAGCCTGCAGTGGCGGAGAGGCGGCCGAAGGAGGCGAAGAGGCCTGCAGAGGCGGAGAGGCCTGCAGAGGCGGAGAAGCCCGCAGAGGCGGAGAGGCGGCCGAAGGAGGCGAAGAGGCCTGCAGAGGCGGAGAAGCCCGCAGAGGCGGAGAGGCGGCCGAAGGAGGCGAAGAGGCCTGCAGAGGCGGAGAGGCGGCCGAAAGAGACGCAGAAGCCCGCCAAAGAGGCGGCTGCTGAGGCCGCACAAGGGCCCCAGAAACCGTTGGTGCCTGAGCAAGAGGCTCAAGAGCAGCCTGACGTCGAGATGCAGGACGCAACAGGAACTCAAGCAGTAAGTCTTGCAGCGGCTGTTAGATGTCCACTGACCGCTTCATGTGCACAGGCCAACAAGCCCGCTGGTGCGGCAGATGGCAAAAAGCGGCGGCACCTCACCATCCCCACCATGACACCGTCTCCAGAGCAAGAAATCCCACGGCGCAGAAACAAGCAGCAGCCGTTTGCCTTTACGTTCACGGGGCCTTCCACTGGGCCTTCCACTGGGGCATCCGCGCACACTGCCTTCGCCCACCCGTCGCTTCCACACGCCGCACCTCCACTGCCGCCGCCGGCGTCCTCGCGCGATAGGGCCTTGCAGCTGCAGATCGAAGCCGCTCAGCTGCATGCGCCGTGCGCTGGACAGTTTGCTGGAATCTTCCAAGCGCTCCTGACCAAGATCGACACACAGGCGGACCGTCAGGACGAGCTCGAGAGGCTCTTGCGGCAAGTAGCCGGAGGAAAGACGCTTACACAGTCGTCTGGGGATCTGGAGGACCGGCTAGCCGCTGCCGAGGAGAAGCTGAAAGCTAAGGACGCTCGCCTGCAAGATTTGGAGGACGAGCTCAAGCGGCTGCGCGACGAGCTCAATGGCGTACGGGAGGACTCATACGCCCGCGAAGAACTGGAGGCGCGATGGCAGATGCAAGTCCAGTCTGTCAACCAAGGCCTCGAGGCCGTGGTGTCCCGTTACGAGGTCATGGAAAAGAGACGGGCGGCCCCATCTCCACCGCCTGTTCCCAAGCACGAGCAGAAGCGGGAGGACACGGTCATCAACCTCGTCACTCCGAGCCCGCCTCCCCGAACTCCCCCTGTCCCGACCCCGCCTCCCCGAACTCCCCCTGTCCCGACCCCGCCTCCCCGAACTCCCCCTGTCCCGACCCCGCCTCCCCGGACTCCCCCTGTCCCGACCCCTCCTCCCCGGACTCCGACCCCGCCTCCGCCTCCCCGGACCCCGCCTCCCCGGACCCCGCCTCCCCGGACCCCGCCTCCCCGGACTCCCCCGCAGGCCTGGAACCCGAACCCGTACCCTGCGCTGACATCCCCTGCTCCCGATGGTCGGGGCATCTTCTCGTCATCGCCGTTCTCTGAAGGACCTTCCTTCCTAACGATGCGGCAGTCGGACACCGACAGGTCCAACCATGACCTGGGCACTGGCGAAGAGGCGGTTGGGCAGGCACTTGAAGTCGAGGACGGCTCAGCTCGCCACCAGTCACCGCGCCGTGGGCTTCCCCGCAAAGCGAAGGCGCGGGCGGAGACCCATGTGATGGAGGAAGGCGAGTTGTCGAAATAGCGTCAGCACGTAGTTACCGTCTCTTCTTGTGTACTTGCATTCTCTCTGTTGCGTACTGTGCCGCTTGTAACAACTGAACCTGATGCGTATATACACTGATGACCAAGATTTACTGCTCCCAAGAAACATGCGCTCGATGAGACGTGTGCAAGAAGCGAGTACCAGTTTACCAGACCCGCTACAAGTCCAACTTCTGTGGAGCCCGCCTCTCCCTATGAGGCCGCTGCGACATGGCCTCGGGAGCCACTACAACGGTTCCGCTCCTAGGCTTCTTCGAGGGACGCAATGTAGACTCTGCCTCGTAGGCCTGAGGGCCATCTTCGTACGGTCGTCTGCGCGCCTTCGATGCTGATCCTCCCTGCGAAATGCTTCGAGACGCGGTAGGAACCTTTGCCATCTCTTCCAAGTCCATCGCCTGCCCGTCAGATGGGCGCAGCGTCTCAACCTGACCGGGAACGAGGGCCGCTTCTTGCACATGGGCTTTGGGGGCGGGCGAAGGCGACGACGCAGCAGAGAGAGCGGCACCAGGCAGAGGTGCACGAGGCAAGATGGAACGCATTGGCGAGAGAGGGCGTGGTGACAGGCTCTTAGGAACAGCAGGCAAGTTGGGAGTGATGGCAGGCGGCGCAGCGGGTGCCGGGGCTTTACCGAATACGTCCACAATCCGGGCGTTTGCAATAGGCTGAATAAGATCAAGCAGCATGTTGCTCGACGCAATGCCGAGTTGCGTCGCCACAACGAAAGGAGGTATCCCTGCCGAAGGTGGGTCGTCAGGGTCATTGACAAACTGGGCGCTATCGATGTCGCGGAGAGCAAGTCCGACAGCGAGGAGAACCTGTTCGACTTTGCGCAGCGCTGCTTTCCCCTCGGAGACCCATACAGTAGCGCGCAGATACGTGATAAGTGGGTCTAGCCCGCTGGAGGATTTGTGGACTTCCTGAGGAAGAGATTGTGAACCCCAACTCCATGACGCCCAAGGCACGCCCGGAATGGCAGGGGGGGTATAGGCGGGTCGCGGTTGGCGTCCAGGCTTGGCCGCAGCGATAATCGCGCGAGCATATTCGTTGCACAGAACCATGTACCGCCTGTCGGTCGACAGGGATCGCAAGAAGTTGACGCGCATACTCGGGCGAGCGGCTGAAGGGGCCATCCCATTAAAGGGCAGCTCTGCTGGGATGGGCTCGGCGGTCGCCGTTTGCGTGCTTGTGGGCTTCACGGCAGTCGACCCCTCAGAGGCGTCTCCTGCCTGCTCTTCAGTGTCATTCACTGAGGGCTCCGGTGAGGACCAGCTGGGAGACAACGATGGAGAGGGGGTCTCTGACGGTATGGCCTTCCTTGCTTTCTGCTTCCCTAAGGCTTTTGCAGACAGGTGCGGCGCAGCGAGCTGTTTCCCAGATTGGCCTGCCATTGTGCAGTCAGCAACGATTGACTGGACGCGGGCCAGCTATACGCACCGCTTCCAGATGCCATGTTCGCCCCCCCTGCCTGTGTCTGGGTTCCAGGTTGCTGAGCCATCCGCGTGCTGGCTGCTTGTTTGTCGACCGCCTGTCTCTCCTCCGCCTGTCTCTCATCCTCGCGCTGTCTCTCCGCTTCTCTCCTGGGTGCGTCCTTGATCCACCGTGCGAGCCATTCATCGTACCTTCCTGGCTGCACATCCTCAGGATCGTCAATAGCAGTGTCGCCGTCATCCTGCAACCAGCCCGACATCCGAAATGCTCTCCCTTCGTCCGTGTCTTGTAACTGCCCCCAGTATCGGATCAGTTCAATGCACTGCGATTTCCGGATCTTGGACGGCTCATCAAATTTTACGAAGTCCGGCCATGAGCCGTCTTCGATCCACAGGGACGTGTCGAGTGCCTTGGCGCGTTTCCAGGGGATATTCCGCTTCTTTCCATTAGAAGCCGCGGCTAGTCTCTTATTAGCGGCGCATGCTATCAAGGACATCGACGCTCACTGTGGTGATCATTGAGGAACTGTCGAACCATGAACTGCCACTCCTGCGCGGTCTTCATTTGAAGTGTGTCGAGCTCTTCAGGTGGAGGAATCCTCGGCAATCCCGTTGCCTCATCGGTGGCCAAGAGCGGACCAAATCCCGTCCTCTTCTGTGCTTTGCTCACATTGCCCGAACGCAAAACGGACTCCGCCTTCTTTCCCAATAAATCAGTAGCCCAATCCTCCCAGTCAGACCAGAGCTTCGTCGGATTCCAGTCAGGGTCATCGGCCACGTCCGAGAAGTTAGATGGTGCACCAAATTTGGCATTATGATCCATGCTGCCGCATCATCAGCATCAGTCCGAAGGATGAAAGGGAACACTGTACAGGCCCGCAACTGGTCCTTTATCCGTTGTGTTGCCCGCAAACAGGAAGCAGACGCGGACTCCGTTTTCAATCCACAACTTCTTGGCAAATGTCTCGCACTTCGTGTGGAGACTGCGACTCAACGTCCTAGTTCACGGCAGCTTGTTAAGCAAACAGGCATCCACCAAGAGGCCAACCCCAGATAGGCGGATCACTCACTTTGACGGAAGCACGGGCGGCTCCACGTTGCCGATATTCCCATGGATCAAGCCGCGGATCTCCTTACCCTGGGCCACATATTCCTTTTTCTCCGCAGGAGGTACGAGTGCCCAAAGCTCGTACGTCTTCGCCCTAAAGGCCCCGAACTGCTTCTTTTCCTTGCCACCGTACGCCGCTTCATATATCTCCTCCCGCTTCTCGCGCCGGAACACGTCCAAGCCGCGCGTGGTGCCGGAAACCCCTGTCTTCTGCTTCTTCTTCTTCCCCCCTTCCTTACAGTTCTGTGCGAGCCATTTCAGGACGGCCTAAACACGCGGTCAGCACGTTCAATGATCCAGAGACATCTTCCCTCACCGCCTTCTGTTGCTTCTCTGTCAATTGTTCCAAACTCTGCAGCGGCATGGTCTTGAGTTGCCCCAGGACATCGTCGACGACCTTTCTCCTGGCTGGCTCTTCGGCCAGGCGAAAGGCCGCCGTGTACGCCTCCATGGTGGCGAGCTGATCGTCCGCCCAAACTGTGAGTTTCTTCATGACGAGTGGGGAGATACACCACCTGCCACTGCCATCGGGTGAGCTCATATGCATTGCGATGGGCCGACATTCGCGTGGGCGATGGCACAGCAGCAATCAGAGGCAGCCCGACGGGGCATTATCTTTACGCCTTTGACCAGCTCCATGCGACACCTGTCCATTGACAATGGTCCTCCTTGCCTAGCTGCCAACGCCACTAGGGAAGTATCAACTGAATACAGGCAACGGTGCAATTGATCACATCCCTCCCGAGTTGTGGCCCCTCTTCCGAGTTGTGGCCCTTCTGTAGCAATTCGCTAGTCTCAATCCAGACGTCATAGAGGTGTGGCTGTCAAGCAGACTTCGAAAAACTCATGTTGGACGATGATGACGACACAAGGCACACTAAGACTGGTATGGCGAGGAACACATACAACAAACAACGACGGCGTTCATTTTGACCTGCAAGAGCCTTGCTCTCCTAGCAAGGGAGGCGTCCGTCAGGACTGCCTATTCCCCCATGCGCCCCAATTCCTTGGACCCGTCCCCAACATATTTTAGCCGATTCTGCTCCACCAGGGTGTTGATGAGAACCTCGACCGCATCGTCTTGCCCGTCCCAGGTGAGGACTAGAAGGGTCCACGTGTAGCGCTTGCCGTCGCGGGTGCGAAGCTCCTTTTTCACCAGGTGCCGCCCGTCGTCATGCCCGACGCTGGTGTCAAGATATGTACTGTGGTGAAACATCACCTAGTGTAAGTATTTCATGGCGGAGTTGGGAGCACTCACAACCGATTGTGGGAGTTTTCTGGGGTCCCAGGGATGCCCATGAGATGCGGCTCCATTGCCGTTAGGTGCGCGGAGATCCCTATGAGCAACGTCGGCGTGTCGCGGATGCGGAGGGTAGACCCAGCATCGAACATGGTGGGTTTGGGTTGACGATGGGAATATACGAACTAAGGTTTCCACCACTCCAAGGCGATTGAAACTGAGCTGAATGCACTTCAGCGACAGACGTGACATATGGGCACAGATCGCACGATTTGACACGTTTATGTCAGGACAGATCCAAGGATGGACCCGCTTGTCAAACGGCGGTCCTGATTAAGAGACGGTACCTCCATACTCGAAATGCCGCCAGCGATGGCGTGCCAGCCTTGCTCGGACGTTTTGCGTGAGCGTCTTCAAAATTTCGTTCTTCTTTTTTGTCTTGCTGAATGCGTTCACAAGTACTAGGCTGATTGAAGCAGATTGGCCGTGCATCATACTATGGAGCCGCCCGCATCCGCACCCCCGCAAGGCCCGCACTCAGCTGTCTGGCAGATAAACGTAGAGGAGGCGGTCGCGGCGCGCCAGTTCTCACGGTTCGGACGTATGGACGTTCAAACGTTCAACGCGTACGTTCAACCGTTCACTTGTACATTTTTGCACGATGCTCGACTGGCTGTACATGGTCGCCGTCAAGTCGAGACGCACGTGCGCTATCGACCGGTGGCTAAATGGACGCCCCTCCTCCTCCTGAGGCGGGGTCAGGGCGCAGCTAAGTACGAACAGTATAATATATACGCAGGTCGCGTGAGGTGTCAGGTTGGACGATGATGACGACACAAGGCACACTAAGACTGGTATGGCGAGGAATGCAAACAACAAACAACGACAGTCGAAAGGGGTAGCGTTCATTTCGACCTGCGAGAGCCTTGCTCTCCGAGCAAGGGATTCTGAGCGGGAACGATGGAGAGATCCAATTTGGGAATGGAGTAACTGTTCTGTTGGAGAAGTGCGCGCTTAAGTGACCAACGCTTCTTGGCACTCCTCAAAAGGCAGGCGGACTGACAACGGTTTGGTAACGTGTGAGTCCACGTGCCACGTGCGACACTACAATTGCTTGTTGACCCAAACCACCATGTCCGGGTCAGGAAAGCCACACAAGCTTCCTCGCAAATGGCAGGTCCTGGGCTCTACCCAGAGACTCAAATTTGTCCGCCCTGTGGCAACAAAGACGCGGAGAGGGGTTGACTACAAGATGGTGGAAATATCCAGGGCTGATGGTAATCAGCCTCTGATTCATCCACCCCCAATAGGCGATCTGCCGAGCCACGATCCACGGGATCCGATGGACCCCAGGAACCACATCGATGTTGCGGACCTTGTTGGCATCCATGGGCCACTGCCTAAGCGACCCAAAGACTCGGGATCAGTAGGTGCTAATCTATAGTTGTGGGTGCCTGTCCTGAAGCGCCCGACAGACACAGGCTGATTTCATGGACGCATGGTTGGCTTTACGGGAATCGTTCTTGGAGCGCCTAATCGAGCTTGAGGGTCCAAGAGAGAAGCGGAATTGTGCCGATTGCCGAGCAGAGTGGAGCCCGTGGCGCTGCATTGAATGCGTCGGCTCACCCAGTTTGTGCACCGACTGCTGTCGCCGACGACACGCAGCGAGTTATTTGCATCCCATAGAGAAATGGATCGCTCAAGAGGCGGATGAGGCAAATGTACGCTTCTTCTCGGACACAGACGGCAACGACAATAGCGACGACGGTGAAGCGGCGGACCCCATCCAGCAAGGCCCAATTGAATCAGAGGAGGGTGAGTCGGCCGCCTCTTCTCAGTCTCTTGAGCCCGTCTTATATCGTCCGGTTCAGGTTATTACGCACCAAGCTCTCTCTATGATGTCGGGATCCGAGTCTTCTTGGGTCACTTTGGGCAGTCGTGCCCTCTAGTCGCCATGTATGGCGGCACCCAACCATGTAAGCGGATTACAGTGGTCGACATCACCGGCGTGCACAGCATACGGGTTTCTCCATGTGTATGCCACACTGCTGAGCCTGAGGCTATGCAGCTTCTCTCCATAGGGCTCTATCCCGCCTCTGTCCTTGCACCCCGGACTGCTTTCACGTTCCGGGTACTCAACGACTTCTTGCTGGCCAACAAGATCTCAGGGAGTGCTGCCGAGAGCTACTATCAGCGTTTGCGCCGCCTGTCGAACCCCGCGTTTCCTCAAGCCGTGCCTGTGAGAGCGGAAGCTTTTCAATATGGCGCTGTCTGACTGTTTACAGGACCGCTACCGCGAGCTTCTGCGTGTCAGCCGACAGTGGCGAAACCTCAAATATCGCAAATGGAATGGCTTTGGTCACGAACGAGGGCCAGTGGGTCCCGGTGAGCTTGCGCTGGGATGTGTGGCCTGTCCAATGCCCGGAGTCAACCTCAAGGCAGGTTGGGAACAGGATCCCGATCGGTAAGCGCCCCGCTTGTTCGTTGCAGTCCGGGAGACAAGCCTTTTGCAGGTGGAAGTTTATGCAGACGTTTGTCATGGACGGCAACTTCAGCGCCGAGCATCTGAAGATGCGCTGCCCCGCGGATGATGTAGCCATCGGTGACGGGCATGGCTTCATGGTGACAGATGCACCGTACAAGAATCACCTCCAGGGCACATTGGAACAACGAGAGGTAGGTAGCTCAGCTCGGCGGTTTCTTAAGCTCATGGCACTCTAGCAATCAAGCTGTCACGCTCATCGTGCCGTCAATCAAGCCAATGCCGACCGCCATGACATGGAAGCTACAGGCATTGGCGCGGTTGCCTGTGGGCGACATGGTTGCTTCATCCCTCATGCGGTGGTGGATTTCCAGAAGGGGGAACGGTGAGTACAACATCCGTCGTCTGCTTGAAGAGGCTAGCTTAAAGGCTCCAGACAAATGAACATGGATTATGCGCTTTCCCAGGCGCTACGGCACCACACAGGCATCCAAACGTTTCTTATCATGTACGACATCGCATGTCAGTACAGCAAGAAGGTCCTGGCGAGGTTTGCTCAGGGCGCGCACCTCAGCTGGCCTGAGGCGGCTGACATATTTTGGGGAATTGGCCTGTTCCACATCCATGGCCACCAGCGCGACTGTTTACCAAAGTACTCGCCTTCATTCATTCCTGGCGCTGGACAGGTAGACGGCGAGATCATCGAGACATTATGGGCCCCGCTCAATCGGATATCGGGCAGCACACGCGCCATGGCAACATCTCATAGGAAAGAGGTCATCGACGACCATATGAATGACGCCAATTGGCGAAAGACAATCGGCATGGGTGTGTTTGCATTGCCGACACTGTCAGTCCCCCGCTTACCCAAAATGCAGTGAAGATGCTGTCTCGGAGGTTCATCCAGGCTGAGAAGCAACAGGAGCTGTGCCAAGAGCTGCTACAGGAACTCGAGGAGTCTAGTGATGCAGAACTGTTGGCCAAATGGAAGGAGCTTGAGATGAGAGCGCGGATGGAGAGAGGACGAGATCTGTCGGTCATGGAGTCCTATGAGGTCACCCAAGAGAAAGGTGCGCGCTTGTTGAATCGATATATCCGGGATGCAGTCTTGACAGTGATGCAGCCCCTGGTAAGAAGCAAATGCAGCTTCTGCTTGAACAAGAGGAGGGCAAACAGAAGGACAGCCCCGGATCTACGTCATGGCTGGCGGAGGGAATTTTGATCCAGGAGCAACAGTGGGTGCTGCAATCTGAGAGTCGGTATTGCGCTGATGTGAACAGGCTCGCTGTAAGCGCGCTGGCACGAAAGCTGAAGAAGCACGCCTTACTGGCGGACAGACTCCAGCTTGTGGAGAAGCGCAACAAATTGAAGCGAGCGGTGGATCGCTTTTCGAGCAAAGCAGCTGGCTACTGGAAGCAGGAAGATGATGAGGAGGCAGACGATGAAGCGGCCCGACACCCTGGGGCCTACGCCGGAGAGGAATGGGAGGATCTTGAAGAGGAACCTGATTTGGGCGAGGATCGCATAGTGATGGATGAACCTGAAGATGAGATATTGCCGGAGTCCATCTCACTTCTGCTGCCATCGACATTGGGGAAGGTGAGGTTGGAAGAGCTGGGGAAGGTCGAGATGGGTCGTCGGGAGCTCCGCCTGAGGGAGGGTCAGGCAAACGATGCCCTCCACCGACTTCGTATGGCCCTCGGCATGAAATCCGTTCTATTCCGCACAAAGGTTCGCCTCGCTAACAGCCAAAGGACGAAGACGAGAGCATACAAGGACGTCAGTGGAGTGACGAAGGTCATCACAGAGTGCGCCCGCCTGTACACCTTGGCTCGAACGGGCATGACACGGGTGCTGATGGGGGACGCCGAAGCGGCCAAAATGGAGAAGCAGTTCAAAGACTATCACAAGGCCATGGGTCGGGACTCATCACAGCAAAAGGGGGTGGGAAGCTCTGGGCAGCCATCGCAGCCGAACAGCAGTGCCCAGGTGGAAGCCAAGCAAGTGTTTCGTGAATGGCTGAAGACGCTGCCACCACAGCTGCAGCGATACCGACCTCTGACTAAAGAAGATCTCAAGACGACGACACACTTGCTAGACCACACAGAGCGGAAAAGCCGTCACAAAGAGCTATCGTGGATATGGGCAGTCGATGTGGGAGGGGATACGGAGAGCTCAGAGTGGCTAACAGAACGTGCGCGTCTTGCCTTACCGATCTGAGGAACGTGCTCATGGGCCCCCAGTGCACCGCGTGAACTGGCTGCGAGAGAAGGCCAAGTGCGACCGCTGGCGAGAGCAGCTGGTCCTGGTGGGTGAGGAGATGCAACAGACGGCCCGCTCATTCGAGTTCAAGGCCCGTCAGTGGAAGATGCGGTGTCACGGGAGTTCAGGACACCAAGCATATGCGCGGCGACAAGCGGCGCTGTGGCTCAGTCTAGCAGCGGATGCCCGTGCAGCCTACACAAAGCTGGCCACTTGAAGATCTGCATTTGGGTCTTTACAGTACAGTACATTGACCGCGAGGCTTTACATCGACCAACTATTGAATGTCTGCGGTTCGGACGGACAGGACAGGCAGAGCTACTGTCGTACAGGCGGGAAAACTCAGGTACCTGCCTCCATAGTGCAGCTTGTTTGACAGGTGGAACGATGGGTGAGAGACGGTAAATACAAATCACGCTATGTCAAGCAGACGCTTCACCGCATCTTGAGTAGACTCACATTCCGACGCAAGAGAGGCGGTGATGAGGTCCGGTCGATAGAATGGGTCAGTCACAGGTAGAAGAGGCGGCGGTTGGGCATCCCCATCCACCTCAGCTTGCAGGTTGCGGATGGCCATCGTGCATTGTCTTTGCATGACCGCAGCGACAATATTCCTCATGTGGATAGAGACCTTCAGAACGCGACCCAGGTCGGGGTCTGGGTGGCGCATGTCTGCACGCCGGGTGGCGCGATCTCAATGTTGTGCTGGTCACGCCGGGTGCTCCAACATGCTGTCGATCTCTGTCGACGCCTTTTCAATGGCTGAGCGGATGCAGCAATCTAAGTCAACCGCTGCTCTTCACAAGACGAGCCTCGTACCTGATAATGATGTCATTTTGGGTGCTTGTTTTAGTCTCTTGACGCTTGACTGTTGCAGTGACGGGATGATTGTTCGTGCACGTGAGGCTGCGAGGTTGTCTGAACTGAATAGCCGGTGGCACTGCACAGCTCCGCACCTCACATAGTGATCCGCACCGCTCGACGGCCGATCTGCGGAGTCGGGTAATTGCAAATGCAACATGCACGTCTCCACGCTCTCCCGGTACAAAACAGGCAAGGATAGAGCACCCTCATTGGCCATCCGGTGATTAACCGGGCTTCCCAACACCGTGTCAAAGCCTCTAAGCCTGCTATTGGCGGCTACCAGTGCTTCGAAATATTGGATGGCGTTTCAACAGCAGGATTCCAACAGAAGCGGTGCTAAGTCGGCCGCGTGCTGCCCACATTTGGTCAGTACTACCCCCCAATTGGCATTGGTGTTTGCAGTCGGTTACGTAGAAAGAAGCGTTCAAGGTGGTTGTTGCATGGAAGGTTGTAAAAGGCGTAAGATGATACCCCGTTGGGCTGGCACTTTGAAACAGTTGGCGCCGCCCACGAATATTTCATGAACTGGCCCGAAAGTGTTGGCAAGTGGCATATCTCCTCAACTCGCTATGTCACTCCAAATCGTGCCCTGGGAGCCAGAGCAGCTCCCAACACTGCAGCGCTCAGAGTCAGTCGATGCGGACATTAACACCGGCAATGTGCCCCCGTCTCGGCCCGTGCTTCCGTCAAAGTGAGTGATCCGCCTATCTGGGGCTGGCCTCTTGGTGGATGCCTGTCTGTCTAACAAGCTGCCGTGAACTAGGACGTTGAATCGCAGTCTCAAAAAGAAGTGCGCGACATTTACCAAGAAGATGTGGCGTGAAAACGGGGTCCGCGTCTGCTTTCTGGTTGCGGCCAACACAACGGATATAGGACCAGTTGTGAGCCTGTCAGTCTCCCCTTTCATCCTTCGGCCACATGCTGATGATACGCAGCGTGGATCATAATGCCATAATTGGCGCACCATCTAACTTCTCGGATGTGACCCGTGACCCCAAGTGGAACTCGACGAACCTCTGGTCTGACTGGGAGAGGTTCGCCACTGATCTATTGGGAGAGAAGCCCCGGTCTGTTTTGGATGCGAGAGTAGCGCAGCAGAGGGCAGACTTCGGTCGGCTCTTTGCCACCGATGAGGCGACAGGATTGCCAATAATTCCCCCGCCTGAAGAGCTCGAAAAGCTTGAAACGAGGACGTCGCAAGAGTGGCAGACGATGGTTTACCAGTTCCTCGTTGAACATCACAGTGAGCGTCGATGTCCTGGATAGCGTGCACCGCTAATAAGAGACAAGCTGCTGCTTCTAATGGAAGAATGGGGTATGTCCCCTGGAAACACGCCAAGGCACTCGGCACGTCCCTGTGGCTCAAAGGCGGCTTATGGCCCGACTTCGTCACATTCGATGAGCCGCATAGTATCAAGAAGGCTCACTGCATTCAACTGATCCGGCACTGGGGGCAGTTACAAAACGAAGGGAGAGCATTTAGGATGTCGGGGTGGCTTGCATCTGATGCCAAGCACGGCATGCAGCCTCCCATGTACGATGAGTGGGCCACACGGGACGCGCAGAGGAGAGAGGCCGAGAGACAGGCCGAGAGACAGGTGGCCGAAGAACAGGCGGCCGCAGACCAGGCGGCCGAAGAACAGGCGGCCGCAGAACAGGCGGCCGAAGAACAGGCAGCCGAAGAACAGGCGGCCGAGAGGCAGGCGGCCGAAGAACAGGCGGCCGAACAGGCGGCCGAAGAACAGGCGGCCGAGAGACAGGCGGCCGAAGAACAGGCGGCCGAAGAACAGGCGGCGGTCAGAACGTGGATTGCTGATCATAGACAGGCGGCCGAGAAACAGGCGGTCGAAGGACTGCCAGCCGAAGAACAGGCGGCGGCCAGAACGTGGATTGGTCAGCGAAGACAGGCGGCCGACAGACAGGCAGACGAAGGAGAGGTGGCGGAGAGACAGGCGGCGGTGGCCAGAACGTGGATCGTTCAGCAAAGACAGGCGGCCGAAAGACAGGCAGCTGAAGGACAGGCAGAGGCGGTGAGCGCGGCGTATGGAAGCAGTGCATATGGCCGGCTGATGGCAGACCGCCCTCTGGAACAGCCCACCCCGCCGTGCCCGTTGGAGTCGTCGATCGCAAGGTTCCCCTTCGTGTCGGGAGATGCCGCCTTGCCGCCCTCCTCTCCACCCCGACCTCGTGGGGCGCCGCCGCCCGGGTTTTCCTGGGCACAGTTCCCCTCTACGCCGCCCGTGCAGCTTCCGCGAGCTGCAGCGGAGTCCGTCAGTTCAAGTTCGTCTGGGTCATCGACCGTGCGCTCTGGCAATGAAGTCCGTCACTCTGGAAAGAAGCGGCTGCTCCTGGACGATGCCCCAGCCACGTCGCCACCGCGACATTTCAAGAGGCCGAGAAGCGGAAGGGCTGTCGAAGAGCAGTGCAGCAACACCGTCTCATAAAGTAGAGGTTGGCGGTTTCTTGATTAGTCGTTCCCATCTTCCGACGCTTCTTGGCCGCCGTGGATGTTTGTAAGAACAAGAAGTGACTTAATAGACGAATTTCGAGACAGCGAATGCATTAACATGTACATAGCAGAAGAGATGGTTTGAGGTAATACATGTCCTAGTACGTTCCCAGCAGACGCTTCACATTCTCTTGATTGCACCAAGACACCTTAGGTGCCCCAGCATACTCACACACTCGGTCCTTCATGAACCAGGCGAAGGAGATGCGGTCCCCTACGAACTTCTCAACCGAGTGCGGGAGCATACGCGCGCAAAACGCCAGCACACTGCCAGGCGGTTGCTGGAAGTCGACCGGCAGAGTGGGAAGAATGATGTGGCCACCGGTGTAATCGCCAATTGAAGCAATGACATCGAAAGCAGGGTACGGCGCACCGGGGTCCGTATGCAACGGGCTCACTCGGTTGTTGATCACCTGCAGGGCCGTGAAGCAGGAAGGCCAATGAGCGAGCACCTCGCGGAGTGGTTCCGCATTCCCCAAGGTTTGGTGCGCCCGTACGCCTATCTGGAACTGCTCTGGGTGGATGACAGACAGGATGGCTGCCATCAGGGCATTCGTCTCCGCCATCTCGTCGAGGAAGTGGAGCCCGGACTCCCGCTTGTCTCCGCTCAACGTTGCAGAAGTGGTAGGCTTTTCAGACTGCTGACCGTTAAGTATTGTGCATAGGAAGATAGTTCAAAACATACCGGGCTTCCTATTGGATACCAGGCGGGAGCAAACGTCGGGGCACCAAGAGGCGCAGCCGGGTTAGGAGGTTGAATGAAGTTTTGTTCATTGCGTCGCCAGCTGGGCTTCGATTCGCCTGGTATAGGCTTATTCGCACTGAACTGCTGGCGCGCACCTGCCATGGCCGTTTTCATCGCGGCCTCCATAGCCTCGTTAAGGTTGCAACAAATTGCTAAACATCATGTGCTTACCTGACGTTTATGCGTGAGGATATTGGGAAGGTACCATGCGAGTATATTCCCAAACTTGTCGACCACCGTGCAAGGCGCGGTATAGGCGGATTGACTTCGGCCGTAGCAGCGTCCATAGCGGCGGAGTTCGCGGTCAATAGCGGGGTCCGCAGTTCCTTTGGACTCCTGCAGACGAGCGCAGTAACGATCTGCATCTATGTCTCGGGCAATGACTGGCCCCCAATGAGCTGCTGCTGGGGCGATGGTGTCGACACTTACCGACAGAACTGAAGGCATTTGCTATGAGAGCAGCGGCGTACCCACAGTCCGCCACAAGAGAGGCCGATATAAGATCAGGCCGATAAAATGAATCCGTCGAGGGCAAAAGAGGCGGCATCTTGATATCGTCCTCGCCTTCGGCCTGCAGCTTGCGACAGGCAATCACGAACTCTCTATGCATGACCGCCGCAACAACCCTCACGAGGTCAGTGGCTGAGCGCATGCAACAATCTGTCAACCGCCGTGCTTGACATGGCAAGTTTCGTACCTGACAGCGTGGCCATTTCGAATCCTTGGAGCGTGGCCATTTCGAATCCTTGGATGGGCTTCTGAGGAGCAGTGACGGACAAGAGCAAGAGGTGAGAGCAGGTTGTCATCAACGGGCCAGACGCCACTTGGCCTGATTGATCGGCCCGATAAGCTTTCGCGATTGCCTGTCATTCCCAATGACAAACTGGTTTGCGAACTGCTAGTCTCGATCCAGACGTTATAGAGGTGCATGCGCAGGTGTCAGCGGACTTCGAGAAACTCATACCACAGCCACCTCCATAACTGGCTGTGGCCTGACATCTATGCCCTTGTTGCGCTTCTGCGCAAAGGGAGGAGTTCTCAATGTAAACAATCCGAGCACGAATGACATTACAGAACACATACTATCTGACACGTGAGT